AGTGGGACTCTGGTTTTCTCAATCTCTCTGCTCTCTTTGTCTCTTCTGTTGTCTGGTAGTATCCATATGGTGGTAGGAGAGTTGCTGGAAGTCTCGTCTGTGGTAGACTGTATTATTTTCAAAATATTTTCTTCCCTCCCACTGGTCCTTTCCTTAGGAGAGGATTTTACTTCCCTCTTCCCCACTGATGAGCTTGGTTGTGCAACTTGTTTTGGCCATGACTCCTGTTGGCCTTCTTTTATACCCATAGGTTTTACTGGGTTCCAGGGACTGCTCTCTCCCTTTGACCCTTCAAGGATAAGAGTGTAACAGAGCCTCTCTGTGGCTAGTTTACAGGTGTTTCACCATCCCTCATTGGATACCCCTCACTTTGTAAGTAGTGCTATTATTAAATGGTCAATTATCTTACTTGTGTGTGACTTACTTTTCTGCTGGGATCCTGACTGACACAGAATTCTATTGGATAGATCCACCACAGTTTTTTTTTTTTTTTTTTGAGGGGCTTCCCTGGTGGCTCAGCAGTAAAGAATCCGCCTGGCAATGCAGGAGATGTGGGTTCAGTCTCTGGGTGGGGAGGATCCCCTGGAGCAGGAAATGGCAACCCACTCCGGTATTCTTGCCTGGAAAATCCCTTGGACAGAGGAGCCTGGTGGGCTACATACAGTCCATGGAGTTGCAAAAGAGCTGGATACGACTTATTGACTAAACAGCAAAACCACCACCACCACAATTATCAGTTGTATCTCATCCTCTACCACCTCCTTATTCTTTTGCCTTCCATCTTTCCTAGCACCAGGGTCTTTTCCAATGAGTTGGCTCTTCATATCAGGTGGCCAAAGTATTGGAACTTTAGCATCAGTCCTTTCAATGAATATTCAGGGTTGATTTCCTTTAGGATTGACTGGTTTGATCTCCCTGCTGCCCAAGGGACTCTCAAGAGTCTTCTCCAGCACCACAATTCAAAAGCATCAATTCTTAGGTGCTCAGCTTTCTTTATGGTCCAACTCTCATTTCGTACATGACTACCGGAAAAACAATAGCTTTGACTAGGCAGACCTTCGTCGGCAAAGTGATGTCTCTACTTTTTAATATGCTATCTAAGTTTGTCATAGCTTTTCTACCCAAGAGCTAGTGTCTTTTAATTTCATGGCTGCAATCACCGTCCATAGTTAGCATCTAATATCTGTTAGGACTTCCCTGGCAGTCCAGTGGTTAAGAATTCACCTGCCAATGCAGGGGATACAAGTTTGATCCCTGGTCTCGGATGATCCCACATGTCTTAGAGCAACTAACTCCCCGTGCCACAACTACTGAGTGTGCGCACTCTAGAGCCTGTGCTCCACAACACGAGAATACACCTCAACAAGCCCGCGCACCACAACAGAGTAGCTCCTCGCTTGTCACAACTAGAAAAAGCAAAGCCTTTGTGCAGCAACAAAGACCCACCACAGCCATAAATAAATGAACAAATAAATATAATCTTAAAAAAGAAAATATAACTCAGACCATGGCATGCCTGTACAAATGGAATAAAGCACAGTCAATTTCTTGCCCACTTCTCTGACCCAGTCTCCCACACCTCTGTGCAAGCTGGTCCCAGCTCTGGGCCTTTGGACTGGCTGTTACCTCTGCCTGAAAGACTTTTCCCCCAGGCCCTTGAATGGCTGTTTCCTTCTCATCCCTCACCTCCACTTAAAAGTCACCACTTCACAGAGGTCTTTACTGATGGCCCTGTGCCTCAGTCACTCCCTGTTATATGGCTTGTTTTTATTTGCCTCTTATCAAACACTGTCTGAAATTAACTTGCTTATTCATTTGTTTCTTAACCATCCTCTCACTGGCTGGAATGTTGGCTCCATTCCAGTAAGAGCCTTGGTTCCATGGTAATCTCACAACTCAGAACAGTGCCTGCCACATGGTAGGGACTCAGTAAATATTTGTTGAATGAATGAATGAGTAATTCTATCCACAAGACTTCATAATGAGTTTTCCCTTGAGATGTAGCCTTGAACTCTAAACTGAAATTGCCAACACATCACACTACTAGTCTTGAAATTCTGCCTCTATCCCTTACCTTGAAATCTAAGATCACCATCTATTCGACCTTTCCCTTCCCTGACCCTGCTTTAAAGAAAGATGCGGGCGAGCTCCACCCTGGTCACTATTTCTGTAATGGCTGCTTCCTTGAAGTAGGTGCTGTCACGTGGAATCTCTTAGCTTCAGCATCCGCAGCTGCTGGAAGGGAGTCAGATAGAATTAAGTACCGCCTTATTTGAAATCTTCATCCTTCAAGAACCAGCCACATCATGATCTCAGTTTCAACACAGTTGTTCCTAGTCCTGTTTTCATTGCTTTTGGTGCTGCCTGTTGTTGAAGCAGTAGAAGCTGGAGATGCAATTGCTCTCTTGCTAGGTGTGATTCTCAGCATTACTGGCATTTGTGCTTGTCTGGGGGTGTATGCACGAAAAAGAAATGGACAGATGTGACTTTGAAGGGCCTCCTGAATCAAACCTTCCCCTGAAAACCTTTGTGCTATTGAGTTTCAGAACTGAGCTTTGGTGTCTGAAAGTTCCCCAGAAACAGTTAATAGAGAAGTTTCATATTATTGGTTATTTTCCTATAAAAAGGAACAAATTGATATACTGTGTTAAAGGGAAAACAACATGTTTTTGTCACAACAGATAATGCACTGGAAAATGCCATCTGTAATTTGCATTTGCTGAAATTTGCTTAAGTAATATTTCATAGTTTCAGAATTCTCAGTAGGAAGAAGGAAACTCATGCCCAGAATCCTAGGAAATTGCCACTGTTCAGTTATAATCACTGCCTCCTGCATCATTGAGGAATTTTTTCTCCATATTTTTATTGGATTTTTGTTTTGTTATCTCCCAAGTTAGTACTGTACCTAGACATTAAATACAGTTGGTCAGAAATTAAAATGTATCTCTGTGTGGGAAAAAGTTCAGAAAATGTATTCAATGTATCTAACATTGAAATGGAGAGAAGATTTAATGTAAAAAAAAAAGAAAACTTTATATTGACATTGAAATGGAGAAATTTATTGTTTAACAAAAACAAAAAAATGTTTATATTAACTGAGTTACATCTCCATGGTGAGAAGTACTATGTTAAGTATAAACCTATTATGTAAGTTAAAAAAAAAAAAAAGAAAGAAAGATGCGGGCTTCCCTTGTGGCCAAGTGGATAAGAATCCACCTTGCAATGCAGGACACACCGGTTCAATCCCTGATCCAGGAGGACCCCACGTGCCTAGGAGCAACTAAGCCCATGCACTGCAACTACTGAAGCCTGCTTGCCCTAGAGCCCATGACCACAACAAGAAGCCAAAGTGGGACCCAGAATGAGAAATGAGAAGCCCAAGGATGGAAAGCAGAGTAGCCCACGCTCTCCAAAACTAGAGAAAGCCCACCCTCAGCAACGAAGACCCGGTACAGCCAAAAATAAATAAATATTTTTAAAAATAATAATTAAAAAATAAAGATATGGAGTTTCTCAGCGCATCTTTTTCTGTTCTAAGGAAGCATTAACAGTTAGTTAGACCTAGAGAAACAGGAAAGCTCACAGGGACTATGAGTGCTGTCAGAGAGAAGGAAGGTACTCCAACAGCCCTCTCTTAAGGGAAAGACTGTCGGGTCCCATTTTAAGGCCCATTGGAAAGGGAGGTCCAACAGACTGCTAAAGCCAAGAAGAGTAATAAGTGTGTGCTCCTTTAAGAAGTGTTATTTTAAAAAGTGGGGAAAAGACCTAAAGTCTCCAAAGAAGACATACAGATGGCTAACAAACACATGAAAAGATGCTCAACATCACTCATTATTAGAGAAATGCAAATCAAAACCACACTAAGATATCACCTCACACGAGTCAGAATGGCCATTATCAAAAAGTCTACAAATAATAAATGCTGGAGAGGGTGTGGAGAAAAGGGAATGCTCTTGCACTGTTGGTGGGAATGTAAGTTGATACAGCCACTGTGGAAGACAGTATGGTGATTCCTTTAAAAACTAGAAATAAAACCACCATATGACCCAGCAATCTCACTCCAAGGCAAATACCCTGAGGAAACCAGGGTTGAAAAAAACACATGTATCCCATTGTTCATTGCAGCACTATTTACAATAGCTAGAACATGGAAGCAACCTAGATGCCCATCGACAGATGAATGGATAAAGAAGTTGTACACATACACAATGGAATATTACTTGGCCATAAAAAGAACAAATTTGAGTCAGTTCTGATGAGGTGGATGAACCTAGAACCTATTATACTGAGTGAAGTGAGTCAGAAAGTGAAATAAAAATATATTCTAACGCACATATACGGAATCTAGAAGAACGGTTCTGAAGAACTTATTTACAGGGCAACAATGGAGAAACAGACATAGAAAATAAGACTTATGGAAATGGGGAGAGGGGAGGAGAGGGTGAGATGTATGGAAAGAGTTACATGTAGATTTATATTACCATGTGTAAAATAGATAGCCAACGGAGAATTTGCTATATGACTCAGGAAACTCAAACAGGGTCTCTGTATCAACCCAGAGGGATGGGATGGGGAGGGAGATTTGAGGGAGGTTCATTCATTCATTCAACAAAAGGGAGGGGATACATATATACCTATGGCTGATTCATGTTAAGGTTTGACAGAAAACAACAAAATTCTGTAAAGCAATTAACCTTCAATAAAAATGTAAATTTAAAAAAAAGTTATTTGCTCAGTCACGTTCAACTCTTAGGAACTCCAGGGACGGTAGAAGACAATAGCCCTCTAGGCTCCTCTGTTATGGAATTCTCCAGGCAAGAATACTGGAATGGGTTGTCATCCCCTTCTCCAGGGGATCTCGCCGACCCAGGGATCCTTAATTGTCTGAGCCACAACGGAAGCCCTTTAAGAGGAGGGCTGGAAAGCGGAGGGGGCGTGGTCATAAGAGACCTGGTGGGTTGGATAAGATGAGCCCCTTCCGGTTACATAGTCCTAGCAAAATGGCGGCGCCCAGGGCGGTAGGTGACCGAAGCTTTCAGAACCCTCTAAGTTAGTGTCCGCTCTGCTGTCTCTGCCTTCAGGACCTCTCTCGGCGCCCAGCGGACAAGGAGCGGGAAGGAGCAGGGGGCCTCTCCCGCTAAGCCTCGCTCTGGGCGCGGAGACTTGTGGTCGTCGGGGGCCGCAGGATCGGTGCGGGTCACAGGCAGCGGAGGAGAGAAACCAATTGGGAAGCAGGGCGTGCCGACTGAGAAAGTGCGCCAGACCAATCAGAGGGAGGGATCCGACGGGCGCGGGGAGTCTAGGGGCGGACGACAGTGTGACTTGCAAAGGATGAGGGTTTGGAAGAAATTGGCAGAAAAACTGAGGTTTGAGGTCCAAGAGTAGGAGAGCAAAGGTGAGGGAAACTCATGGAATAGTTAGGAATTTTGATGGAAAACCCATGAGGTGAATTTGGGAATCCCAAGGGAAAAGATCTAGGGGAAATTAAGGAGAGAATTTGCAATGTTGTGGAAAGAATTTAGGAAGAATTCGGCAAAATCAAGGAATGGACCTAGGAAAATTAAAGTAAGGTTGGGAGCTTAAAAGGAATTTTAAGGGAAAATAAGGATGTGGGCAAAACTATTGGGAGAATTTGGTTAAAGCAAAAAGAGAAACTGAGGCACTTTAAGAGAAAACTTTGGTGGGGTGGAACTTGAAGACAGTTTGGGAGCTTCAAGAGGTAAGTTAAGGATGGTTTGGAGAGAAATTAAGATTATATTTGGGAGCTTCCCTGGTAGCTCAGTGGTAAAGCACCCTAAACCCCATTTCTCAGCAACAGGAGAAGCCACAGCATCAGAAGCCTGCACGCTGGAATGGAAGAGTAGCCACCCCCATCACAGCAACTAGAGAAAGTCTTCGCAGCAATAAAGACTCAGTATAGCCAAAAAAAAAAAGTTACATAAGGAAGGAATGCCTTATTTAGGAAAACTCTCCTGGGAAGTGGATAAAATTAAGGGGAGAATTTGTAGTACATTAAGAGTTCAGATAATAGAGGTTTGGTGAGAGACTAAGGGCTTGGAGGAAATTAGGGGGAGAATTTAGGAAAACCAGAAGACCCTTGGGCCAAATCAAAGATTTTTTTTTTTGGCAGCGCTAGGTCTTGGTCGCTGCGTGCAAGCTTTCTCCAGCTGTGACAGGCAGGGGCTACTTCAGCTGTGGTGCCCGGGCTTCTCACTGAGGTGGCTTGTCTTGCTGCGGAGCACAGGCTCTAGGTCAAGTGGGCTCAGTAGTTGTGGCACATGGGCTTAGTTGCTTCACAGCATGTAGGATCTTCCCAGACCGGGGATCAAACTCATGTCCCCTGCATTGGCAGGGAGAGTCTTAATCACTGGACCACTAGGGAAGTCCCAAAGAGAATTTAAGATTGATTAAAGGAAAGAACTTGGGGAAAGCCTGGGGAAATTTTGCAGATTCCAAAGAACTGGAAGTTCTTAGAAGAGAAATCAGTAGTGAAATGTTGAAGAGGGAAGATTTGGGAGCAAAACCAAGGGAATCAGGCTGTGTGTCTTGAAGGAGGCTCTGTGCTCAGCTCCTCCTCCCCTCTTCTCCCCAGTCCCTGAGGCTAGTGGCCCCGGTATGGAACAGGGGTACCAGTGGCATCCGTGGCCTGAGCAAGGCAGTGGACCCGGAGGGCAATCAGAGGAAAGGGAGGACGCTGCTCCAGTTCCTGACTGACCGCTTCTATGATGTGGAGGCTGTGAGGGAGTACCTTCTCCGGAAGCAGGTGTTGAAGGTGCAAAAGAAAAATCGGTGAGAACCCCTGGCCTGCCCAGCCCTGCTATCCAGGCCTCCCTGGTCTGCCCACCCTGCCCTTGCCACTCCAGGAAGCCCTAGGGCTTCCAATGTGAGCCTTGCCCAGGTGCCTCTTCATTTCCAGCCCACATGCTTATCAAACCCTCCAACTCATAGAGGCAATCCATTGCCTACTATATCCTCTTGGAAGTCTAGCTGGCACTTCAGACCTCACATGGCTAACAGCACACTTTGGTTTCCCCCTAAAACAGCCTTCTCACCCCCAGGCCTTCCCCATCCCGGTCAGTGGCACCACTGCCCATCCGTTGTTCAGACCACATTCTAAGGAGTTATCCCTGATTCTTGTCTTTGCTTCCCTTCCCTACACATCCAGTCCATCATTGTTACCTTCTGCCTGTAGCCTGGTCGGAGCCCTCTTATTTTATGCTTGGATGACTGCAGTTGTCTCCTATCTGGTCACCTTTTGCCCCCTGTTATAGCCTACACAGAGGATTCTTAAGAAAGGAAGATGGATAACATTACCATTTTGCTTAAAACCCTCTTATGGTTTCCGACTGCAACTAGAACAAAAGCCAAATTCTAAGGCCGAAAATCTGGCCCCTTACTGAGCTTTGAGACCTCTACTTGGGACGCCCACTCACCTCTGCCAGCCTGGCATCCTTATTGCTTGTTCATCTTAATTCAAGCCTCTGAGCCTTTGCAACTGGCTTTTCCCTTGGCCAGGCAGACTCTGACCCTGACCTCTGCAGTCCCTCTCTCATTCAACTCTCAAGTTTCACCTCCACCAACACGAAAACCAAATCACTCACCTCCATCCCCCATCCCGAGCCACGCCTAGTCTGTTCCCTCAGTATTAACTTCATCATGGAATTGACTTGCCGGTTATCTGTTTCTCCTGTGAAATAACTCTGCAGGAGCAGGGACAATGATCCGCCTTGATCACCACTGTCCCCCAGTGCCCAGCACTTCAGAGGCCCTCAGTAAATATTTGCCATCTGGTTCAGTCTGCCTGCCCATCTCAATCCCGTGCTGTGGACTGTGACCCTCTCAGCAGCACCGGGGCTTGGCAAGGGGTGTGGTGCTTCAAGGCTCACCCTCGGCTACTCTTCTCCCGGCAGGTCTGTCACCTACATCAAGGAGCGATACGGCCCCTACGTCGCAGGGGCCTATTTCGTCTTGAAGCAGGGAGGCTCAGTCAAGTATGACGGCAAAGGTGTCAGAATGGGGGTGGGGTCGGGTGGGGAGGCGGGAGAGCTGCTTTCTAAACCTGGGGCTCCTCCGTCGGGTAGGCTCATGTCAGTCTGACTAGCTTCCATGCACACCCTAGTCTCTGGCCCCTCCTGGCCGTGTGGCTGGGGACTTGTTCCTGAGCTTCAGTTTTGTCATCTGTAACATGGGATGGTGGTCATGTCTAACCTTCAAGGTGTGCTGTAAAGATTCAGAGACACTTTACAGTCTGGACACTGGTCATGGGTTACAGGCCAACACAGCATGTGTGCTCGGTCAGCACTAGTGTGTCTTTTCTTTCTTCCTTGCCCCTCCTCCTCCTCTTGTTTTCCCCCTTTATTTTCCTTCTGTTTTTAAAACACAGTTCACATAGGCTTCATCTAGCCTTCCTCTTGGTTCTGATTAAGATTTCACTTGTTTTGAGCACTTCATCCAGCAGCCTCCTTAGAAATAGTGTACCTGTCTGTAAATATCTCAACATTCACCCATCTCTAAGGATCCTTGTCTCATAGCTCTTTTTTCTCATGTTAATATCCATAATCTCTTCGACCCTCAGCTTCCAGGTATGTAAAATTGGCCAAACACTCGATCTTTGATGAGGTTGTCAGGGGGCCCAATGAGACCAGACATGCAAAGCCCTTAGCACGGGGCCTGGTGTATAGTGAGCGCACCAGTTTCTCTGATATGGCGCTAGGAGTGTTATTAGGAAGTTAGAAGGTTGCGGGACCCTGCTGACACGCCCTCTCTCCCAGGTTTCGGGACAGGGAGTGGATGCGGGCGGATGAGCGTGGCCTCTCCTCTCTTGAGTTCCAGAAGCTCCAGGAGGTGCCCCTGGAGGCGGTGGATGCCAGTGGCTGTGCCATCAACTACCAAGGCCTGGACAACCTCTGTGAGTGGGGTGAGGCGGGAGGAGGTGGAGACAGGCCAGGTGCTGCCCGTTCGTGGTGGGCTCCAGACGGGCCCTGAGTGCCATCCGCCCTCTGCCCCCTGCAGTGGCCCTGAAGGAGCTCCAGTCCCTGTCACTGCGACGCTGTCCCCACCTGGATGACTGGTGTCTTGGCCGCCTCTACCAGCTGGCCGACTCGCTGCAGGAGCTCTCGCTGGCCGGCTGCCCCCGCATCTCTGAACGGGGCCTCGCCTGCCTCCACCACCTCCAGTGAGAGCCTGGGCCCCAGACCAAGGGAGGGCATTCCTGCCATCCCTGCCTCCTGGACAGACCTAGAGCTGGTGGTGGGTCAGCATAGATGAGCTGCACAGTGAACATCTGGGAGGGTGGGAGGACTCTTAGTCTTCCTGTCTTTTTGTATTAATGAAATTACAAGATATTTACACTGTTGTGGGACAGCAGGAGCCAGAGGTGTGCAGATCCACACAGTGGATCTCATGTACTTGAGCAAAGATTTTATTAGAAAGCTGGGGGTCATTGTGGGGGCAGGTACACCCCCCACACTCACACACAGACGCCATCCTTATATGTGACCCCCCTGCATCTTGCCTCCTCTCAGGAACCTCCGCAGGCTGGATATCTCCGACCTTCCTGCCGTGTCCAACCCGGGCCTCACTCAGATCTTGGTGGAGGAGATGCTGCCCCACTGTGAGGTTCTGGGGGCTGACTGGGCACAGGGCCTCAAGGTGGGGCCAGAGGAGCAGTCCCAGGATGCAGGCGGTAGCCCCATCCCCGCCTAGCCTTCGGCCCCTCCCCGTCGAGCTGGGTCTTGGCCAGGCTGTGCGAGCCTAACAGCTCATCCTTCTGGCTTTGTTGGGCTCATTCAACAAATGAGGGGGTCGGGCTGGGGTGAGGGGAGGAGAGCCTGAGGTTGGGACATTTGTTCTCCGCCAGGATGCTCTGGCTGACTGCAGCCAGCCTGAAGCTCACAGCTCCTGTCAGCTTGTCAGGTAGCCCTCTCCACGTGCGTCTCTCCTTCTCAGTTTCAGGAGCCCCCTTCTCCAGCCTGGGGGAGGTAAGGGCCTCTGGCTGCAAGTAGCCCCGGGGAGCTGCACTCTTCCTTGTGGTTGCCCCGCACTGTGCCCACTTCTCTGGCAAGAAACTTCTCTTGACTTGTCAGAAGAGTCTTGTCGGATTATCCCACTTGCATATGCTCCTGTTTCCTGCCAGGGGGCACTGCTGGCATTCTACAGGGCTGGTTCTTCCCTATGGAGGACGACGCGGCTCACCGCGGGCTGCAGCATCCCTCGTCCATACCCACTGCATGCGGGGAGTTCCACAGTGTTCCCCTTATTAAGTTATTGACGCTCAGCTCCAAATTCAACTTTGTTTGCTCTGTGAAAATTGATCTGGGCCTTAGAAGTATTCTGCAGTATAACTGGCCTGATAAGGTTTGTCAGTAGAGGGAGCGTGAGAGATGTTCCTCAAGGGAGGGAAGGCTTTTGCTTTCTGGCTTTGCCCAGGGGTGCTTGCTCAGCTGCCCTGCAGCGCATGGTGGTGCAGGGCTCCCCACATCTGCTGAGGTGAATCAGGTGGTCAGCAGCTTCCCCTGGCGCCCTCCACCTCCCACTCTGCAGAGGACAGCCTCCACTGAGGTGTCTGTGAATGTCTCTCCACCACACCCCTGAAGGTGGATTTCCGCTAACTCCCAGGGCCCCTTACCAGTGAATCCCCCTCCTTACTTCACTTTGCTGTTAAAGTCATTGATTCTCTATATTAAACTTTCCCTGTTCAAATTACTGTGTGGCTTTTCTCTCTAGACTGGATCCAGACTGATAAGAGCCTTGGCATCTGGAGTGTTCCCAGAGATAAATTCACAAAGACAGGATTTGGGGGTTGGTTTGTTCCGGCCTTTGGCTTAATTGCACTACTGAGCTCCTTGGCAGTGGGAAATGAGACATTAGAAATCCATGGCCTAAATGTCATCAAGAGGATGGATAATGATGCCTTTGGCTTGAGTCCACTGCTGAGCTCCTTGGCAGTAGGAAATGAAACATTAGAAATCCATGGCCTAGATGCCATCAACAAGATGAATGGATAACAAAGATGTAGGGGCTATATGTGATACATGGTGGAATACTACTCAGCCATGAAAAAGAAGTAATGCCATTTGCAACAGCATGGATCGACTGGGAGATCATCATATTAAGTGAAGTAAGTCTGAGAGAGAAAAATATGATATCACTTATATGTAGAATTTTTAAAAAATGATACAAATGAACTTACAAACCAAAAACTCATAGACTTAAGAGAAAAACCTATGGCTACTGGGGGGAAGGAGAGGAGATAGTCTGGGAGTTTGGGATTGACATGCACATGCTGCTCTATTTAAAATAGGGAGTTCCCTGGTGGTCCAGTGGTTAGGACTGTGCTTCCACTGCTGACGGCATGAAAGGTTGCTACTGTGAGCTGTGTGTTTCACCGGGATTCGTGACCTCTGGAGGAGAGGATTTCAATCTGGGGTCAGAGATGAGGCTTGACTACTTGGGGAACATTTTGTGTAACAAAGTTTTATTAGAGTATAGAGATAAAGAAACCTTCTGACGTGGACATCATAAGGGGACAGAAAGAGTGCCCCCTTGCTAGTTTTTAGCAAGGTGTTTTACATGTTAGAAAGCTATTAATCAGATATGAGAGACAGCTCAAGGCCGAGGGAGTTTCACCAGACCTCTCCCACAATAGACAGGATGGCATCCCCCAGCCATAAAACAATTGATAGAAATACTGGCCTGTTGAGCCATTATCAGCCCAAGGTTTGAGAAAAGAAAGTTAGTCTTGGGTGGAACCATTTTGAAGAAAGGCAAATTCTAAAGCAAATACATAGTTTAAAAAACATTTCCACAAGAAAAACATTGGTTAGCTCAAGGCAAGACGTCTGCCACTTGCAGTTTATTTCCTCCTGCTGCTTGGGAACCTCTGGTCTTCTTGCCTGTTACCCTCTCAGGCATAGGTTCAATCCCTGGCTGGGGAACTAAGAGGGGCCAAACAAAAAATAGGCTAAATAACCTAATAACAAAGACCTTATGTATAACACAGCGAACTCTGCTCATGTTCTGTAATTATCTAAATGGGAAAAGAATTTGAAAAATAGATAACATGTACATGAATCACTTTACTGCACATCTGAAACTAACACTGTTAATCAATGATTGTTTAGTCACTTAGTCATGTCCAACTCTGTGAACCCAAAGACTGTCGCTCACCAGGCTCCTCTGTCCATGGGATTCTCCAGGCAAGAATACTGGAGTGGGTTGCCATTTCCTCCTCCAGGGAATCTTCCCAACCCAGGGATCAAATGTACCATCTCCTGCCCTGGCAGGCAGGTTTTGTTTTTTGTTTTTTTTTTAACCACTGAGCTATCTGGGAATACTCCAGTATAAAATAAAAAGTAAAAAAATAAAAATCCAAGGCATGCAGCAGCATCACAAAAATGTTATCGCCTGGGGTTGTGATGAGGTGCCAGTGAGGTGCCATGTGCCCTGGGGGGCCCTGTGGCTGCTGGGTGTGACACTGGCAGTAATGACAGCTCTAAAGATAGGGTTGGGCAGATTCCCTCAAGTGCCCAGCTCAGTCACCCCCTCGGAATTGGCAAGCTCCCATGACAGCATTCCCCCCCCCCCACCCCCGCCAAAGTTATTGCTCATAGATACTGCTGAAAATACAACACAGTGTTTAGGTCTGTGGGTTGCAGAGTTAGGACACTTGAACCCTCCAGTCTGGACAAGTTTCTTGTCTGGTGGAAGTGAGGGCACTGACTGGTACACAGTGGGATCCAGAAACCTGGATTCAGATCATCTGGTTGGACCCAGAGGAAACAGACGACCTTGAACTCCCGAGTTCCTGGAAGCCTTCCCTAACAATGTGGGGAGACCACCTGCGATCCTACACTTGAAAAACCCAGCCATGACCTCCCCTGGGGCAAATGCCTTGAAAGGGAGATCAGCTTTTCTTGACACTTACCACGAGCGCCCCCTGCTGTCACTAGACCCGCAAGTGCCACAGGTCAAGCCTCAGCACGCTCCAGGGAGCAGGTGCTCACTGCGCCCCAGAAGGGAACAGCTCTTACACGGAAGGGCAAGACAAGCAGACAGATGTACAGTCAACACTCAAGAAGCCGCACGGGAGTGGATTCTTGGATGTTAGGCCAGGGAGAGCAGACCTCACACTGCATGGAGTGAAGCTCACTGATAGAAGGGCACTTACTGGAGACTCTGGATATAATGAGTTAGCTAGTGCAGCTGGTGTTGTCCTGACAGTTTTCTTGGTTGGCTGACTGGAACTTGGGACTCAACAGTGACCTACGGTGACTAAGGCGAGAAACGTGAACTGCCCAGGCATAAACTGGAGAGGGAGATCCAAAGACCTGGGGAGGCAGAAATGCAGGCTGGGGTCCACATTCTACCAGAAGGCACCTACCTCTTTAGTCACTCGACATCTGCCCTCACCTGTTCCAGTCGCTGGATGGTTTCTCTCCTCACTGGAATGTCTGCGGACTAAGGCATACAGCAACCCAAACTCTCCACCCTGCCCCTGGTCTGTGCTCTGAGAGTAGCTAGATGAGCCAAGAGTCGGGGGGCTAAACAGCCCCCCTGCCAAGCCTGGGGGTAAAAAGGCTTGCAGACCCCTCCCAGGGGCTCTCAGAGCCCTGCCCCAGCCCACTCTGGCTTTTACTCCATCAATAGTCCCCACCTTCTCCACACTCTCTTCCTCCATCTGGTCTCATGGGCTCCATTACTCAAACTGCTGTTGCTGACAGACAGGGTTCCTGCAGCAATTTGGACAGTTCCCAACCCAAGTCAGGGGTCAGGCCAAGCTCACCTTTGGGGGAGGGGGGGTTCCCTCACTCTCACCCCAGGCTCCAGGAGGTCTTAGATGAGCCGGCCCCACCAGCCTGCCTCCCCAGACAGCTGTAGCAGCCCCAACAGCAGAGGCCCCTGGAGGGCAGGGCCATAAACACAGGCAGACACCCTCTGGTCCCGAGGGGACCGGATGTGAGTGTTCCTGGAGTCACCGTGCAGCTGTAGGCGGGGCCGGCCCAGGGCTGGAGAGAGGGACCAGGAGGGACGGACTGCAGCCCTGCCGGGCATCCAAAGGAATGGAGGGGGTGCAGGGGTCAGCCCAGCTCCAGGGCTCCCGGTGCCCCCACCCGTCACCCTTCACTGCCTCTGGCTTGGCTCCCCCTCCGCCCACTCCCTCCCCAGCTCCCTCTCGGCCTCTCCCTGGCTCTGGCTGTTCGCCCACTCCCGGCTCTCTGCTTCCACCCCGAGTCCCTCCACCTGCCCCTCCACATTCTCTCCCCACCCCTTCCCCCCGGGGCTCCCCTTATCTCCTTCGGCTCCACCTCTAGCCTCTCCTCTTGGCCTCCCTGAGCCTCTCTCCTCCCGCCCTGCCCCTGTGGTCTCCCCAGCTCTCTGCTTCCTCAGCCAATGTCTTCTCACTAGTCCTCTTCCCCCCTCCACCCTGACTCCTGGCAACACCCTCTGCTCTGGCAAGGCCCCCTGCCCTCTCAGCACATTCACCGCCCGCCTCCACCCCTGGCCAGGCCCAACCCCTGGCCTCAGGCTTGGCCACTTTAGGGCTCTGCCTCTCCCTGGGTCACTCTGACACTTTCCAGCCCCGGCTCAGCAGCCCTCAGTCTCACCCTCCCTGGGACTCTCTCTGAGGCCTCGGTCCTCCCCTACCGGGCCTGCCGGCTCCCCTGCACCTTTCCCGCGGTCTCACCAGAAAACCAGCCCTGACACGCCCCAGCCCCATCCCTCAGGCCTGCCTCTCGCCCTCCCCCGCCCCCCCTTCTCGCTCAGCCCCGCCCCAGCCCCTCCCGGCCCCTGGGGCCCTCCCCGCCCGAGGACTGGCTGGGCTGGGCCGGAGAACAACACCGGCACCTCCAGACCGCGGGCAGAGGACGGAGAGAGCTGGACCCAGGCCCAGGGCGCTGGAGTTGGCCGGAGCTGGCCCCAGAGGTAAGGAGGAGGGAGCATTGCCTGGGATGGGGGCTGTGGGGCGAGGACGCGATCCCTGTGATCCTGACTCCTGGTGAGGAGGGGAAGGGTGGGGCGGGAACGCGGAGCCCATGGTCTCTAGGAGGGTGCGGATGGGGACGGGGAAGACAGAAGGGGTCTGAGTGGCTGAGTGGAAAGAGCCAGGAGCTGGAATGGCAGTGGGGCGGGGGTTCGCCGGTCCGGGAAGATGGGCTTCGGGTGGTCGGTGGAGGGCCGGGTCAGGTTCTGGACCGCAGAAGCCTCACCAGAGCGGCCCGGCCCCCGCGGCCTCTGTGTCTCTTCAGCCGCTCCCACCGCCGCCCCTCCCCGGGCCAGGTCATGCGCTGCCACAAGTGCCTTCTCTGCCTGTCAGCCCTGCTCACACTCCTGGGCCTCAAAGTGTACATCGAGTGGATGTCCGAGCCCCAGCTGGGCAAGGCCTATCCAGGACCCCGCAGCAGCCCGCCAGGCTCCATGCCAGCCAGCGCCGAGCCCACCCTGCCAGCCAACCTCTCAGCCCGTCTGGGCCAGACTGGCCCGCTGCCCTCGGCTTACTGGAACCAGCAGCAGTGGCGGCTGGGGACCCTGCCCGGAGTGAACAGCATAGAGGTAGGGGACTGTGGCGCTTGGGGGGCTGCCGCTGCAGCCGAGATCCCTGACTTCGCTTCCTACCCCGAGGACCTCCGCCGCTTCCTGCTGTGGGCCGCCTGTCGGAGCTTTCCACAGTGGCTGCCCGCTGGCGGCGGAGGCCAGGTGACCGGCTGTGGGGATCCCGGTAACGTCCCCTTCCTGCTGTTGGCTGTCAAGTCGGAACCAGGGCACTTTGCGGAACGACAGGCCGTGAGGCAGACGTGGGGCGGGCCGGCCCCCAGGGTCCGGCTGCTCTTCCTCCTGGGGTCCCCGGTGGGCCAGGCGGGGCCGGACCTCAGCACCCTGGTGTCCTGGGAGAGCCGCCGCTACAGTGACCTGCTGCTCTGGGACTTCCTCGATGTCCCCTTCAACCAGACGCTCAAGGACCTGATGCTGCTGGCCTGGCTTGGCCGCCACTGCCCCGGCGTGAGCTTTGTCCTGCAGGCCCAGGACGACGCCTTCGTGCACACCCCTGCTCTGCTGGACCACCTGCGGGGCCTGTCACCTGCCCGGGCCCGGGGCCTCTACCTAGGTGAGGTCTTCACCCAGGCCAAGCCCCTCCGGAAGCCTGGAGGACCCTTCTACGTGCCGGGGTCCTTCTTCGAGGGCAGCTACCCGGCCTATGCCAGCGGGGGTGGCTACGTGATCTCGGGGCGCTTGGCACCCTGGCTGCTGCAGGCGGCGGCCCGCGTGGCCCCCTTCCCCTTTGGCGACGTCTACACTGGCCTGTGCTTCCAAGCCCTGGGCCTGGCCCCCAGGACTCACAAAGGCTTCCTCACGGCCTGGCCGGCAGACCGCACTGCTGACCCCTGTGCCTTCCGAGACCTGCTGCTTGTGCGACCCCTCAGCCCTCAGGACAGCATCCGGCTCTGGAAACAGCTGCAGGACCCTGGGCTCCAGTGCTGAGCCCCGGGGGCGGAGGGGTGGGCAGGGCAGCCCCCGAGGGGTGAGGAAGGCGGTCCTGGAGTGGAGGCTGCTTGAGCCCCTCCTGGGCCTCGTCTTTTTGCTTTTGAAACAAAATACGCGCGCTCCGCATTCTGAGACCTAGAGTCATCTCTCTTGTCTATCGGAACCTGGGGTAGTGTACAGAGCAAGGCTCGGCTGCCCCCACCCTGGGCGAGGTCCGCTCTAATGGCCGAGCCGTCATGCTGGACACCAGCTCTGACCCGTTCTTCGGGAGACCTGAGGTCATCTCTGGAGGACCCCACCCCCATGCTATTCACTGAAGCTGACCCTCCACCTTATGAAAGTCTGGAGGAAGACAACAGCTCAACAGTCGTGGCTTTACTCATCTCCAGTGGAGGAGCTAGGGGAGTCCCAAGCCAGCCATGCTGGCCTCGCTCTACTGTCCCCACTCCAGGAAACAGAAACCAGAGGTGGCAGGGAGCCAAACACAGAGACCGAGTTTATTCACTACATGCTGACCTCTCATCCTGAGTCAAGCTCCACAGGCTAACCGGCCATGTCCAGCCCCAGAGGTGCCCTCGCCCGGCCCCTGGGAGAAGCCCATGTAACTCAGGGCGGAGAGGGGGCTGACCAAGGACACCCCCAGTGTAACAGCCTAGCGGAGCAGGAGCCACCTCAAGTACTACCTGGTTCCTGAGTGTGCCGGAGGCAGCTGCTGAGGAAGCTGGCACCCTGACAGTCCCATCTGCCCCTCAAACTGGGGCTGCCTCTTGGGGTATTTGAGGCACTACCCTAAGGTCTGTGGGGCCTCATTTGGAGCGAGTGGCCTCACTTCTCAAAGTGGTCCAGCGGGTAGTGTTCGCCATAGGTCTGGAGATGACGTGCCAGAGACTCCTGCTGCTTGCGGAGCTGGGTAGGCATCTCCTGATACACATCTGAGAAGATCAAGTTGGGGTTGGGCTTCAGCTTCCGCTCAGCCTGCTCAAAGGCCTCCATTACCTGGGAGACAAGGGGCGGTGGGCAGGCAGCCAATCCCTCACCCAGGAACCTGCCTCTTCCTGTGGGACCCCCCTGAGCCTCAAGTTCCCACACAGATGATGGAAATAATCATCATAACAGTGGTGACAGCTAACATCACCAACCCCAGCTTCGCCATCTTTAGTGGAACCCGGCACTGTACTAAGAGTACAGAATCATTTCGGCCTCTTAGCGGCCTTAAGAAGCAGGTAACTCAGGTGAGGAAAGCAAGGCAAAGAAAAAAACGTGTCCATGATGACATGGTTGGGGCAGAGTCAGGAAGCACGTGCTGGCCAACACCAGGGTCCGCCCTGCCCACTGCGCTGCAATGTCTCTGGCATTTGATGACCAGGACTGAGGAGGGCAGTGCACGGACTCTGGTGGACACCTAAACTGCATGTGGAGTAAGTGCAAGGCCTCAGACAAGCTTCTGAGGCAGGTACCCAGTATCCCTCTTCAGAGGTGAAAGAGCTGGGGACAGACACCTGCTGGGACATGGCCAAGGTGCCCATGCCTGGACATCGTGACATCAGGGTGATCCCCAATACTCCGTTCAATGGCACCCCCACCCTCAAGCTGGGCTTCCCCGGTGGCTCAGTGAAAAAGAATCCTCCTGCCAGTACAGGAGATGTGGGTTCGATCCCTGGGTTGGGAAGATCCCCTGGAGAAGGAAATCGCAATATCCCCTGCAGAGGGAACACCCCAGTATTCCTGCGAGGGAAATCCCATGGATGGAGAAGCCTGGTGGGCTACAGTCCATGGGGTCACAAAAGAGTTGGTTGCAACTAAGCAACTAAATGACAACGAACAACCCCCCATCCTCTCCGTTCGTGCAGCGTTCCTTATGAAGCATCATACGGGAACATGGCCCCTGGGGTGGTTTCCAACTGGGGCAGGGAAGTCCTGCCTTACCTTCTTGCGGGACTGCTTCCTCCAGGCCTTCTCCTGCTCGTCGTCCCACCAGCCGCGGCTCTGCAGGTAATGCCGCAGCCGGGAGATGGGGTGGTCCTGCTTGTCCCAGTAGTTGACCTCGTCCACCGAGCGGTAGGCCGAGCTGTCGTCACTGGTGCTGTGGTGCCCAATCCTACAGGGGGAGGGGAGGCCCAGGTCAGGCTGCGGCCCTCAGGCGAGGGTTGGGAGGGCAGGGTGAGACTAGGAACAAAGGAGTGAGAATGGAATAAAGGCCAGAAAAGGCCAGACGGTTCGGGCAGTGGGGTCGTGCAGTGGGGACAGTGACCAATGTGAGGGAGGAGCCGGGGACAGGCGGTCACGGTTGGGGGATGATGGGGGGCAGCCAGCCGGTACCTGTAGGTCATGGCCTCAATGAGGAAGGGCTGGTTCTCCGCCACGGCCCGCCGCCGGGCCTCCTTGGTGGCGTTGTACACGGCAAACACATCATTGCCATCCACGCGGATGGACAGGATGCCGTACCCGGGGCCTCGAGCCGCTGTGGGGACAGAGAGGTCGGCCTGGCCCCAGGGCTCTGTCGAGACCTGAGCCAGGAGGGGAGGGGAGGGGAGGGGCAGGCACCCAGTAGGGCCCTCACCAATGCCATCCCCGCGGTACTGCTCTGAGGTGGGCGTGGAGATGGCGTAGCCGTTGTTCCGGCAGAAGAAGATGATGGGGCACTCAAGGGTGGCGGCGAAGTTGAAGCCGGCGTGGGCATCCCCCTCACTGGCCGCCCCCTCTCCGAAGTAACAGATGACCACTCTGTTGGCGTTGGCCCGCTTCGCCGCGTAGGCCGCCCCAACCGCTGCAGAAGCAGAGACATGCGCATCTCACCAGCACTCACACCCGTTCCCGACCCGGGCCTCTGGGGCTCAGGCTGGCGGTCTCCAGGCTCTGAGGGGAAGACACCTGAGCCCCCGAGAAGCTGCCCCGCCTGGTCCTCTCCCCTCATCTGATGGCAGCTCCATCCTTCCAACCACCCAGGCCAAAACCTTCAACGTCTTTCAGTCCTGTCATTGCCACACCTGCTCCACCTCCAAATGGGAGTTAAAGTTTGACCTCTTCCTCAGCTCGCCCTGGTGGTCCCAGCCCCGCCTCCCCTCTGCGTGCCTGAGCAGCCTCCCCACCCCTGCTCCGCCCACCCACCCTGTTACCCGCCCCCGGCCAGGCTGACAGGACTCGCTCCTCCTCCCCCAGCCAGTGTGCTCAAAAGTCAAGAGCCCGTATCACACTTGGGCCGTTTTCCTGGTAGGCCTTATGACCCCTGACATACTCCACGTGTTATCTGCTCTGGATGCCGTCCATCTCCCCCACCAGGGTCAGCACCAGGAGGCCTCAGGGTTTTGCTGCCTCTGTTCACTGCTCCTAGAACAGTGCCCAGCACACCGCATGGACTCCAGACATACCCAACTGACTGACGAAACCGCTCACCCAAACAGAAAGTGAGGGCCTGATCCCACCTTATGGAAATTCTACAGAATGGAGATCAGTGAAAATGCTACCTCCACCCAGAAGGCTGCCCTGTCCACCTCCCACCTCAGACATAAACCGCCCTTGTTGTCAGATATCTAAAACTTACTAGGGGCGAATGTGCCTGGCACTCTGCTAAACCCTGCACACATCAGCTCAAGTGTCTGCCCTGGAGCAGACTGACCTTGTCTTTGCACTCTGTGGCTGCAGGCCTGGCCCCAAGCGGGTCTGCTCACAAGTGGTCATCTTTAATAGAAGTCACACCGGCTGCGCTAAGCATCGTGCGCTTCCAGAATCAGCTTTGGGGGAGTCAGACTCCGAGGACAGAGGAAGAACAGGGTGGGGGTAGAGAACCTGGGCTCTGGAGCCACATGGTCCACAACATGAGAGCCAACTCTTCTTGCAACCTGCCAGTGACCTTTAGCAAGGAACCTGGCACACAGTTCCACACGGCTGGCTGTGCCGGTGAACAGACACAAGGCGAGCACCAGCATGGGAAACAAAGTGTGACTGTGCCTGCCAAATGCCACCAAAGCCCTCCCACGAGGGTCCCAGAAAGAGAGATCTTGTAAGTCTAGCGCCCAGACCAGCACCCGGTCCTGGCGCCCACCAGGAGGCCCCGGTGGAGGAGGTGAGGGCCCGAGGAGGGAACGTTGTCCGCGTGTGCCAGGCCTGGGTGCGCATTCTCACCCTGGGGGATCTGCGTGGCCAGTGGAGAGGAGATGGTGACGAAGTGGCGCTCCCTGCAGCCATAGTGGACGGGCATCTGGCGCCCCTTGCCCAGGTCGCTCACGTTGCTGTAGCACTGGGCCATGAACAGCTCCAGGGGGTAGTCCCGGTACATGAGCACACCTGGAGTGGGAGGAGGCAGGGTTACTCTGGTGGCTGGTATGGGGGGCAGGCCAACTCCTGAAGGCCACCCCCTCACCCACCGCCAGGCCCCGTCCCCCTGCCGGTACAGCAAGGGAGCCAGACTAGAGTGGCGAAGGCGCATTCAGATGCTCACAGGGACGGTACACAGAGCAGAAAGGCCTGGCTCAACAGGGAGGCTGCTGTTCGGACCCACTGACCTCTGCTCACGAAGGCCACATGGTTTCATTTTTCAAAAGGAGAAATTCTGCTTGCCTGTTTTTTTCTTTTGAGAAGCCACCTAATTTTTAAGTGTTCCTCTAATTCATTTACTTAAAAAAAAAAATCATACATACCAAACAAATGTATGGGTCATGTTCATGACTCCTGGACTAAGGGAGGAAATATTCAAATCTGTTCTCAGCAGTAAAACCCGTGGTGGACACCTACCTCATCATCAAAAGCCATAAGCGCACACCTCTCTGACCCGGGCTTCACACTACCCGGCTGGCAGGGCTGGCGGGGGCCCCATGCAGCCCCTCCAGTGAGAGGCTGGCAGGGGCCTCCGCCCCACTGTGATGGGAACGGAGAAAGGCTCCAGGAGCGCCGCCATCCTGAGTGCCCTTGTTCTCCCCACTTCAGAGACGGGAGACACCGAGTCAGCCAGGCAAGCAGCTGCCCAGTCAGGACGGGCAAGTGGGGTTGGCCTTTCCTCCTGCCCCGCACAGGCGCCCCCCGCAGCTGCTGGGATGCAGGGCATTCCAGGACCCAGGCAGGACGGCTCACTCCTGCAGAGGTGGCCTGGGCCCTAACGGCCCCTGTGTGCAGCACCCAGCTGGCGCCCGCGATGCCAGGCCCTGCCTGGAGCCCTCCCCAGAGAGATCCCCTCGGCAGAAACAGTGGGAAGCACTCGGCAAACCTTGCAGGGCCTGGCTTGTGGCCCAGCGCCCGGGGAAATCTAATGATGCTGAACCAGAGTCATTATCACGGGGCGTCTGTCCTCCCAGAGTGTGTGGGGGTGGGGGGTCTGGTGCAGCTGAGAGGAGACAGTCTGAGGAGACGGCCATGCCCACTGGTCCAGGCTCTGGACAGCCAGCCTGGCCAGGCCACACCTCCCGGAAGTGCTGCGCAGGGTGCGAGGCTCTGGCCACAGCATCCTCTCCAACTCTGAGGGCTTATTCTGCACCGTATGCCCTGTGCTGAGGGCTCTGTGTCATCTGCCCAGTGAAGCTGTCTTGGGAGGGGTCCCCGTCCTGCATAGTGAGGACGTGAGATGAGGAAACTGAGGCATGGCGCAGTTAAGCAACCTGCCCAGGACTGTGCAGCACTTAAGAGGAAGGGACAAACGGGGCTGCCCCTGGGCCCCACACCAACAACTGCTCTAGAATCCCCAACTTCAGCTCCCTTCTCCCCCGTCTCTCCTAAACACTCGTCCGTCTTCTTCATTCCTAGTCTGTGATCCTTCCATCCTCTCCCTCATTCACTTAGAAGTGGTTAGAACACACCTCCCATCTGCTTCTGCTGGGTGAGTGACCCGGCATCTGGAGAGGCCGGCAGAGCCCTGCATGTGTGGACGGGGGTCCCGCAGCCCAGCCTGCCCTCACTGCAGGCTCCCAGCAGCCCCACCACGCAGGGGGTCGCCACCCCATCATAATATCTATCTCTAAGATGAGAAAAATGAGGGTCAGAGAATGGAAGTGACTTGTCCCAAATCTAACATCTGATCACCAGCAGGGCATGGAACGCTTAGGGGCACAGGCACTTAACTACAGTATCGCCAGGCCTCTCGGAGGGGAAGCACCCCAAGGCTTCCCTGGCATTATGCCAGGGATGGTCACACTGAAGGGCACACTGGTAACTAATGTAGGCCTTGCCTTCAGAGCAGGCGGGACTGAGCCTGATCCAGGCCCCAGGCCCACACTCCCTAGGGCCCGGCCAAGGTCAGATGTACCTGCCTCCCGGTACTGGCCAAACACCAGGTCTGTGTCATCCAGGGCTGCCGCGCTCCCCACGTGCGTCCCTTCCTCGCCGTAGTTGGTCATGTAGAAGGATATGCGGCCCTGGGGGTAGAGGGGGGCCCAGGGCCAGGGTTCAGTGAGGCTGGGCAACGACAGACAAGTATCCAAATGCTGACTGCTGACTCTGATTCAGCAGATGCTTCCTGAAGGCCGGCTCTGGGCCAGGCCACGCTGGCAGGCCTGCCTCCATGGAAGAAGTGCCAGGTTGGTCAGAGCCAGGGTGATGGAAGCTGAAGGTGTACCCACTCCAAGATGGAGAGGCATCACCCAGCGAGGCCTAAGGTGAACAGACGTGGGGATGGTGGAGGTTTCCAGGGAGCTGACAACAAAGGCCGGGAGGCCAGAAGGGCTGGGATGTAAAGTGGGGCAGGGGGCAGGGGGAGGCAAGGTTGGAGAGAGAGGCACCTGCTAGCTGGATACACCAGTGCCCAAGGTGACTCCCCCTTCCTGAACCCCTCAATCCCAGAGCCTGGAAAAGCAGGTTCCCAGCCTCCCTTATAGTCAGAAGTGGCCACAGGACACAGTTCTAGCCAGACAAGTGGAAGTCTGCTTTTGCTTTCTTGATAAAAGAGATGACTGCATCATTGCCATCCATTTCCCCTACTTTGCACAGAGACATGAAGCCTGGACCTGTGGCAGCCATCTTGTGAACATGAGGCAACAACTACGGGAAGAAAGTCAAGCTGCCCACGATGATGAAGCAGAAACATAGGAAGTCTGGATTCCTGACTGTGGTACTGAGCAGAATGGATTTCTAATTAAAGACCTAAGGACAGAGAGAATGAAAGGAGAAGTGATAGCAAGGGGACAGGAGGGGACAGGGGTGCACTGCGGGACTCCAGCTTGGGTAAATGGGTGGATGGTGGCACCCATCACTGAGAAATGGCCTAAGGGAGGAAGAGGAGCAAGTCTGGGAGGAAGGTGCTGAGGTCAAGTCCGGACAGGCTGAAATTGGTGAGGGACACCCAGAGTGAGAAGTCAAGCAGAACTGGGGCTAAGAGGTGAAGTCTAGCTGAAGATCTGGGAGCCCTGGCAAAGAGATGGGCGGTAAGCAGGACTGCATGGAAGGTAAAACGGACAGTCAGGTCGGCCTCTGCAGGATGCCCTGTGCCCAGGCCTCATGTCCCACAGGCCTAGCCTCCTGTCACATTCCGGGAACCGATGAATAATACTTGCTTCCAAGTGGGGAGCCAATTAAAAGTTAATTGACTGCCGGTGCCAAGCGAGTGGGTGGATGCTGAGTACTTGGCTGGGCTGTCAAGGTTGGCATGGGGAGGAGCCTGAGAAGGAGGAATCCCGAGGAAACGGGACCTAGGCTAGTAGCAGAGGTCACGGGCTGCCTATCCAGCATCCGCTCCCTCTTCTCTTTACTAACAGGTCTCATTGCACCACCGGCAGCAACTGCCCAGACTGACAGACTACTTTCTCAGTGTCCCTGGCAGCTGGGAGTGACCAGTGACACATGTGGTGTTATTTGGTGAGACTACCTAGCAAGTTCCATAAATGTGGGTGTGGGGAGATAGCTGGGCAGTGCCATGTCCGACCTTCCCCCTTCCTTCTACTTCCTGCCTGGAGTAAGACCTGATGGAGGGCTCCAGCAGCCATTTGGTTCCTGAGGGGCCCTAGAGGCTAGAAGCCAGTGCTGGGTGTCCGGTGACACTGTGGTGTATCAGTCCCGACCACCTGTTTCCACGTTCCTTTTATGCAAGAAAAGGAAACTACTAATCTGTTTAAACTATTGCTTTAATTTTTGTTAGGATTTGGGGGTGTTGAGGGAGGGCTGTCTGCTACCTATAGCTGAGCGTCATCGCAGCTAATAAAGGCTGGAACCTGATGGCCAAGCTGATCTTACTGAGGGTTCCCATGTTGGCCAATGGCCAAGGGACCTGATGTGCGCATCTCACGGAACTCCCACCCCACCTTGTGGGATGTGTTCTCTTGTTATTTCTACTTTTTTTCTACAATACACTAAGGGAACTGAGGCAAAGAAAAGAAAAACCAACTGCCTTAAGTCACAGTCGTGACTCGGACCCACATCTTTAGGTTCCAAAGGTCCCGTGTGCACAGTCAACCCAGGGGCAGGAAGGAGCCCATGAACATGAGTGGATGGGAGGCGTGGCCTGGCCCTGAGGCTGTGCAGAGGGGAACAGATGGCTGAGCGCCACAACGGGAGACAGGGCAGACAGGAAGGGCCGGTCTTGATCTTGTGGACGACAGCAGCTAAGGGCAGGGTGGAGAATCCACACACAGCACTGCTGTGAGCTGGCTGCCCACATGATCTGCTTGGAACTGTCCGCGGTGGGCCTCGGGCTTCAGTCCACAGCGGGGTCACCTGGGGGCTTGATACAAGTGCAGATTCCCAAGCCCATCCCCATGTCTGACCCAGCAGGGGTTGGTGGAAGCTGAGGGCCAGCCTGCCCTGCATTCTCCCACTTTTCTAACAGGAACCCTGTGCCCCTGTTCTTAAGTCTCTGCAGCCCAGGAAGGACAGATTCCAGGCCTCTGCTCCCACGGTTCCCAGGCAATGGCACACGGTCCCCCAGCCTGGCCAGTCAATCTCATGGGTTGGTTCAAAGAGGGATCTGTCTGTGACCAAAGCCTGGCCAATGAGAATCAGCCCCGGGCCTTCTGCTGGAACGTTAGGGACCAGACACTCTTTCCACTGCTAAGTAGAGAAGATAATAACTGCAAGGCTGGTATCCATGACAAATGCCAGTTTCACTGTTTCTCAGGCTATTATGTACGCCACCATCAACCCCTGCAAAGTAGCTATAACCCCATAAGGTAGCTAGAGACCAGCAAACTGAAGCACTGGGAGGTTAAGCAACTTTCTCAGGATCACAAAGCTAGAGGGTGACAGAATGAGGACTCCGATTGCAGTCCTGCTCCAGAGCCCGCACCCTGAACCCTTTCACTGCCCCCGCTCTGTGAGCCTGGAGCATCCAGAGACCACCGCGGTTTGAGCATGAGGGAAGCAAAATCAAAGGAGAATGGAAAAGACACTAGGAGAAAGAAACAGGTTTGATAACATTTTTTGGGTCCCTGGGTCGAGCCGTGCCTGAAACAAGGCCTTGTAGACTTGCAGGTATTCGAGTCAACAAGCTCCCTCTCTGCTGACACTGCTGTGCCTCGGTCTCGGTCTGCTGAAGCTGACACTGCTGAGTGTCCCTCCACAGTGCACTATGCACAGGCGCTCCAGAAAGCACCGAGGGTCACCCTGTTCTCAGGACTGTGAGTGCCTGAGAGGAAGGGCCATCCAGTCTTCTCCTGTCTTCCCGTCCCCAGCACAGCTAAGCCCCAGCCCACCAGACAACAGCTTCCTGTGATCCAGTTCAACCTTCTGCCCTGGGGCAGGACCACAAGACAGGGATCTCCATTCCACTCCCCCTTCTTTGGGTGCTGTCTTTTGGCCCAGACACAGGTAGGGTGGGCAGGACCTCAGGTAATCCCAGGCCCCCTCCCCAGCCCATCCCCACGCACCTGCCTCTGGGACTCATAGAGGATGCGGTCCATGGTGTTGAGCAGGGTCATGCTCTTGTAGAATTTGAGCACCTTCTCCTGGGACAGCTGCAGACAGAGGCACAGACAGACGTGGGCCAGCTGGGGCCAGAGAGGAGATGGGCAAGGGGCTTGGGCGTGGGAGGCACGGGGTCAGGGGGAGGCAGCCTCTTACATGGGGATCCTCGCTGGGGTTGATGATCTGGCCCTGCCGGTCCATGACGCGGTAGATGGGGATCCCAGAGATGACATTGGGCTGGATGAATTCGAGCTTATCTATGAACTCCGCTGAGGCCCCCGGGAACTGCGGCTTGTCATTCAGGGACGAGAAGTGCTGCTGTCGCTGCCACCTGTGGGGGTGCTGGGGAGAGAGGATGGAGGGGATCACCCAAGTCAGGAGCAGCAGAGGTTCCCTGTGGTGGCAGGCAGTATTGCTGGTGATGCAGCCGCCAGGCCGTGGTGGACTCTGGAGCCTGACACACAAGGTCTGACTTCCCGCTCCATCACCTTCCCAGTGGGTGACCTCGGGCAGGTTCCTATAACTGCCTTGTGTCTCAGCTCCTCGGCTGTAAAACTGGGGTGAAAATCATAGTATCTATCACACAAGGTTGTTGTAAAGCTTAAATGATCCAATAAAGTGGCAAGTGGCTCAGGAACTGGTAGCTATAATTATCAGAGGCCCAAATTCCTCTCCTGGCATTCAAGGACTCTCAAGGCTGACCGCAACTACCCCCTCCTCTCATCTCCCATGGTGACCACACACACACACACACACCCCCCCAAGTGTGCTCTTCCCCGACCCCTCTACCCACAAGGAGACCACTCTAAGCCAGTTTCTCAGCTTAGAGTTTACATCTGGGAGCCCTTAAAAGTCAGCCTGCCTAGGTTCAAATCCCTTGCTGTGTGACCATGGGAATGAGGGTCTCCCTCCTCAAGTCTCCTTTCCCACCTATAACATGGAGAACACCTCATGGAAACGCTGGGAGGCTTAGACAAAAGCACGCATATAAAATGGTGAGCAGAGTATCTGTACCTATCATGATGCTGCAAAGTAATGCTGATCCTCGTTTCCACCACCACATCTCTGCTCTCATCTACACTAGGAGGCCTCCTCCCCCAGCACCTGGCGAAGAGCTCCACATGCTTCGCCGCCCTCTCCAGCCCTAACCCCCTCCAGAAGCCCAGACTGACTCATTCAACAAATATTTGAACACCTGCTTTCTTCCACGGCCTGTGCTGGGCTCTGGGGACCTAAGAGAGGCAAGACACCTGCCCCTGCCGCACAACAGGGAAGACAGATCCCCAACAAGTAACACCGAGGGTGATGTGTGTTCTTTCAGGAGAGGCTGTGGGGTGAGAGCAGAGTGGAAAGGGGACAGTTCCCCTGAGGAAGTGATGTGAGAGCTGGGACCCGAAGAATATCTAGGAGTCAGGGAAGGTGCATTTGAGACCGGGGTAACAGAACATGCGGGCTTCCCAAGTGGCTCCAGTGGTAAAGAACCCGCCTGACAATATGGGAGATGTAAGAGACGTGGGTTCGATCCCTGGGTTGGGAAGATCCCCTAGAGAAAGGCAAGGCAATCCACTCCATTATTCTTGCCTGTATTCTGCTTCAGATATGCAGATGACACTACCCTTACGGCAGAAAGCAAAGAGAAACTGAGCAACCTCTTGATGAAAGAGGAGACTGAAAAAGCTGGCTTAAAACTCAACGTTCAAAAAACGAAGATCATGACATCCAGTCCCATCACTTCATGGCAAATAAATGGGGAGACAATGAAACAGTTAGAGACTTTATTTTCTAGGGCTCCAAAATCACTGCAGATGGTGACTGCAGCCATGAAATTAAAAGACACTTGCTCCTTGGAAGAAAAGCTATGACCAACCTAAACAGCATATTAAAAAGCAGAGACATTACTTTGCTGACAAAGGTCCATCTAGTCAAACCATTGTTTTTTCCAGTAGTCATATATGGATATGAAAGTTGGACTATAAAGAAAGCTGAGCACTGAAGAACTGATGCTTTTGAACTGTGGTGTTGGAGAAGACTCTTGAGAGTCCCTTGGACTGCAAGGAGATCCAACCAGTCCATCCTAAAGGAAATCAGTCCTGAATATTCATTGGAGGGACTGATATTGAAGCTGAAGCTCCAATACTTTGGCCACCTGATGCAAAGAACTAATTCACTGGGAAAGACCCTGATGCTGGGAAAGACTGAAGGCGGAAGGGGACCACAGAGGACGAGATGGTTGGATGGTATCACTGACTCAATGAACATGAGTTTGAGCAAGCTCTGGGAGTTGGTGATGGACAGGGAAGCCTGGTGTGCTGCAGTCCATGGGGTCACAAAGAGTTGGACACGACTGAGCAACTGAACTGAACTGATTCTTGCCTGGAGAATCCCATGGACGGAGGAGCCTAGCTGGTTACATACAATCCATGGAGTCCCAAAGAGTCGGACATGACTGAAGTGACTTAGCATGCAGGCAAGGCAGAACCAGCAAAAGGCAGAACGTGAGGAGTGGCATGTGGAACTGGGGAGGAGTCCGGTGGGAAACATCGCAACCCCCGGCTCAGAGGAGGCATGGCAGGGAGAGCCCAGGAGAAGCCCACACGTGCACCAGGAGAATTGATCCCGTTTCCCAGCCCTCCAGTTAGACAGCCCTGAACCATCTCAGTGGTGCAACAGAGCCCCTTCATTAAGCCCGAGCAGGGTACCAGGCTCAAGTCCCTAGACACAACCCTCACCAAGCCCTCAGAGCACGTCCGGGAGGCAGAGCGTACTTACTACTACCCTTCAGACGAGGAAGCTGAGGCTCAGGGCAGTAACACCACCTCCTATACCAGGCCCCAGAGCTAAACCAGACAAGCAAGTCGGGACTGGGCTTCAAACCTGGCAGGGCTGACAGCCAGACCCCCAAGCCCAGTCTCCCCACCCCAGCTGCCCACTTTCCACACGTCTGCATCTTGACTCCACAGGTCCCCAGGGTCCTCTCTCGGCTGGCTAACTGTGGCTTCACTTCCCAGAGGAACTGAAGAACAACACCTGGGTTCGTCCTGAGCTGGGTCTCACACATGGGTGCACAAATGGGTTCCCCACCCTCCCTCCTTTAACTGAGGCAAACGGGCCAGTGGGGGAATGTGAATGAGTGTGCATTTCTCTGCATTTGTGGTGGTGAGGAAAGAAAGGAAATTATGCTCCAACAGCAGGGCAGGCCCAGGCCTGACATCAGCAGGGCAGCTGCTCAGCTCTTGCAGACCACCCTCTTGCTTTCAGGGTGCTCACGCAGGCTGGACCCTCCCGACCACCTGGAGGTGTCGTCTCCCCCCACACACACCATGAGCTCCAGAGGCAGGGAGCATGTCCACGTGGCTTTACAGGGCACACACCTCAACAGGGAATTACTGACCCAACGCATGAATGAGCTGTTAAGTTCACTGGCTTGGAGTCAGACCAACCTGGATTCCAATTTCTTAGCTCACTGCACAGCCCTCTGCAAAACACAGTGTCTCTGAATTTCTTCATCTGCAGATAGGCTGCGCAGGGTTATAAGTAGTACCTCAGATAAGGTATGCAGAGGGTTCAGCACAGGTGTGGGACCTATTATATGCTCAAAAATTGGTAGAAAGGGGGAAAAAACCAAAATCTAGGAAGAGAAATGATAAAAGAGAAATTGACTGGCATTTGGGAAGATTGGGGAAAAGGGGAGTTGGGAAGGACTGCCTGCGTTTCAGAGCAGATTCTAACTCCAGACAGGGCCCCAGTGGACACTCCAGAGACTGAGGTGCAGGGGAGACTCCATCTGGGGAGTGGCTCTAGGACACGAGGCCAGGGGCCAGCAGGGCCCAGGAGGAGTCACAGGGCTCAGAGCAAACCCCAGCGTCAGGGCACAGCTATCTGCCTCCAGAGGCTGGAGGGCTACCGGCAGGGTGTGTCCCTGGAGCTGGGCCTTGGCAGTGCCCCTGCATCCGGGGCCTGTAGAGATGAAGGTGATACCTACGCCAAGGATACTGTGCTGATTCCATGAGCTTTCAAAGGGCTCCACATAGTGCCTGGCCCTCAGGAAAGGCTCCATGGCGGGGGTGGGGCGCACGGTGAATCACATGCAGAGGATATATGCCTCTCCAACCATGTTCCCTTCTTTTTGGTGCAAGTGGGTTTGTCCTGGTGGAATCCTGCAGAAACTGCATGGATTTACAGAAAACCTTGAAGCCATGCCTTCTCCCAGCACAGGACCAAGAGATGCTCTGGAAGGCCAGGTCTGCGCCCCGAGTACTGAGGGGCAGTACTTGTTGGAACCATAGAGCCACAGTTAAGGACAAGGCCTCCAAGTCCACCACTGCTTCCGGGATGTGGAACTACAGCTCCCTCAGTTTCCTCATGTGTAAACGGAGGCTGGTGTGCAGATTAAGAACTCCTGCGTGTAGAGGACCTCGTGCCTGGCATATAAGCAACGCTGGACAAATGTGAGTAGCTAACAAGTGTGCCTGATGGCTACTGTGGTCAAACAAGGCGTCAGTGAATATCTGCTCTAAGTCAGGCCCTGAACTGAGGGCTGGAGATGATGCGGAGAGATGGATGATGGACACTGAACACAGGAGTTACCATCAGGAGTAGCGATCTTAGAGGAGGCAGGATTGTGAAGGGTCGACACGTCAGGTAGGGTGAGGGCTTGAGGGCTGAGCAGCCCGTGCTTGAATCCTGGCTCTCCAGTCACGTCACAGGGGGCAGGAGACCGCCTCCCTGAACCCATGAAGAATTTCTACTTCACCAGCTGGTGGTGGGCGGGTAAAAAGCACCTGCTATACCTGGAGAAGGAAGCCTTTCACTATCTGTATCACGTGTAAGAGGAAAGAACCTCAGGGAAAAGGAAGAGGGAAGCTGAGGCCCGCGGAACGAGCAGGGGTGAGCCAGGCAAAAACTGGGATGGGGGAACATGTCAGTTCTCTGAAAGGACAAAGGCTGAGGCAAGAGGAGAGACCCTGGCACCGTGGAAACCATCTGGCTGCGGCACGTTAATGACAGCAGTTAAGGATGTGCGTCCGGGCCACACCAGGCCCATGCTGGGTGATGTCCATGTCCCACTGAACCCGAGGAGGGCACCATGACCACACCGCCATGAGAGGTGGCCCCGAGGCTCAGGGGGTTTAGGCAACTTGTCTGCGATCCAAGGAGATCGGGAGCGGCGATGTCAGCATATGAAGCCAGGCAGCCTGACCACTACAGGGAAGCTGGAGAGGACGGCGGGGTCCAGCCTGGGACAGTTCTGTGGATGAGGCCAGGGAACCGGGTCCTCTGAAGCTAGGATGGCTAATGTTACCTCAGCCAGCACTCTCTGGGATCTGAGGCACACTGCCCTCAAAGAGAGCTAAACCCTGGCTCTACTTCCAGCTGAGAATGTCGCATCCACATTAGTGGCTTCCCTTTCCTGGGGCCAGAGCGGGTTGGGGGTCTGGCTGGGGACGCCAGGGAAGGGTGGAGACAGGTCAGGATTTTTCTGGCCTCAGGGACCCGGAGGGTTTTGTAGCACTAAGCTCCCCAAGTCACTGAAGGTGTAAAGCGTCCTTAATCTGCATCAGTCAGAGCCACACCAGTGTCCCTGTCCCTGGAAAAAAAAACAACAGCTCCCATTTCTTGAGCTGCATGAAACTCCATTTCATGGAGTGCATGGTGTGGGTGGTGGTGGTGGTGATTTAGTCACTAAGTCGGGTTTGACTCTTTGCGGCCCCATGGACGGTAGCCCACCAGGCTCCTCTGTCCATAGGATTTTCCAGGCAAGAATATTGACATTTTCTTCTTCAGGGGATCTTCTCCAACCGAGGACTGAACCCGAGTCTCCTGCTTGACAGGCAGGAGGGTTCTTTTCTGCTGAGCCACCAGGAAAGCCCTACGTAAGTGTCATAAGTGCTTCCTAAGAACCGTTTCCTTTAACCCTCACCATCTCTCTCCGAGGGAGGTACTGCTACTGTCCCTGTTCTACAGATTGAGACTGGTGGTGGGGGTGGGAAAGCTTCTCTGAAGAAATGCCCTGTCTGCCCACACTGGAGAGACCATATCCCTACCCAGGTGATGGGAGCTCACCCAAGGGAAGGGAAAATGCCAGTGGAGCTGAAGTGCAGGGAGGGGAGGGCACCCCATCTTGCCACCAGCCCCAGGCAGAGGCTGACGATGCACACCCAGTCTGGACTAAGCAGGATGTGGTAAGACCTGAACCGAAGTCCTGCCCCTGCTTCTCCGGGCAGTTCTGGAGTCCAGAGCTCCAAGTTCAGACCTCACCTCTCTGAGCCTCAGTTTCCTCCCCTGTAACAGAAGAAAACTACCAGTAAGTATCTTGCAGTGTTAAATATAACAATGGTATGAGTTGGCCCTGTCAATGATACAGTGCTTCATTAAGACACCAGCCAATAGGGAGATGAACTCCTATGGTTTCATGCTGCGATATACTCTGGGCACCAACCACATGGAGATGCTGCACAGGGCCCTGGAGTGCTAGAGCCCCCGACACACTGCCTGAACAGCAGGGTCCGAGAGATAACATTACTGATAAGTCACACAGACCCAGCTTTGAGGTGCTCCCTGAATCCCAGCTGGGCAGGAGGCACTCTGGTCACCCCACCTGCCAAAGCTCAGAGAAGCGAAGTGACCTGATCGAGATCACGCTTGCTTCTTGGGGTGGTGGCTGAGAAAACAACTCAGGACTCCGGGACAACCAAGTTCCCTTCTTCCTTTTCTCCCTGAATAATAAAATGTCTGCTAGAAACAGGATTGAGGGCAGAACCAGCCAAATGCCTCCAGGGCAACAGGGCACAGAGTGAGTAAAGGGGAGTGAAAGGAGAGGCAAGCAGGCGGGGGTTGGGGGGTGGGTGGAGATGAGGAGCCTTCCTCCCAACACTGCCTGCCCCAACAACCCAACCAGTCCACTACAAACACAGCCTCCCAACCTGCCTCCAAGATACAATCTCCTGACTCCACCATGACTGGCTAAAATTGCATCATCCAATACAGCAGCCACCAACCTCTTCCAGCTATTTAAAGTCATTAAAGTTAAATGAGAACTTCAAGTGCTCTGTCACACTAGCCACATTTCAAGGGCTCAGTAGCCATGGGTGGTTAGTGGCTACCGTACTGAACAACGTGGATATCATCACAAAAAGTCAGCCCACCAGGCTCCTCTGTCTATGGGATTCTCCAGGCAAGAATACTGGAGTGGGTTGCCATTCTCTTCTTCAGGAGATCTGCCTGAACCAGGGATCGAACCTGTGTCTCCTGCATTGGCAGGCGGGTTCTTTACCATCTGAGTCATGAGGGAAGGTGCTACTGGACACACCAGGCCCCAGATCTTTGAGTAAATGCTACTACTCCTTCTTCTTCCCTCCAAAAAAAAAAAAAAAGTTTTTTTAAGCTTAAGAAAAACAAGTGAGGTAATTTAAAGTGGAGAAGAAGAAACAGGGACTCTCAAAATACACAGACTTCCCTGGTGGTCCAGTGACTGATTCCCAATCTTAGCCACGTTCCCAAAGCAGGGGGCCCAGGTTCGATCCCCGGTCAAGGAACTAGCTCCCTCCTGCTGCTAGGGAAGACCCAGTATAGCCAAATAAATAATGAAAGACCACCCCCCTGCTTCCCTCCCTGCCAACAAATGACCTCACTAAAAAAAAAAAAAAAAAAAGGAGGGAAGCCAAGAGGGAAGACTAGCAAGGAGATTGAGCCAAAGGAGGCAGATTTAACCAGCCATGAGTGATCTTCCCTCCTCCCACCCAGTCAAGTTCACCCTCACTCCACAGGCTCAACCAATGGGCTCCAGGGATGGAGCTGTGGAGGATTTGACTGCTCAAATCAAAACCAAACCCCCACAGAAATCAGCCCAAAGGCAGGGACTCTCCCACCTCCCTCTTGCTCCAGTAACCTTTCTGAAATTACCTGCTTCAAGTGACTTCCCTTCTCAGGTCTTCCCACATATTATTCACAGCCCATCCTCCTCCCATTTCTCCCTCTAGCAAGAGCTGCTTCCCAGATTCCATCTTCCCTTCCTAATGGCTTGGTGATCAGAAGGTCAGACCCAACCCCACAAGAGCTGGATAGAATTCCCGCCAAGGCTTTCACCAATCCAGGCCTTTCCCAGGTCACCTCCCTTCTTCCCCCCCACCGCCCATCTCCAAGGTCAGTTTTTGTCCCTTCCCTCCAACCTCACTTTCAACAGTGGCTAACACTTCCAATTGCCCTCATCATATGCCAGATCCAGTTCTTAGCATTTTACATACTTAATTTCACAACAACTCTACGAGGTGACCATTGTTAGCATTTTACAGAGAGGAAAATCAAGTCCAGAGAAGAGTAGTCCCTTGACCAAAGCTACGGAGCTAGAAAGTGGTAGATTACAGAACACGGCCTCACATGATTTAGCATGAGCCAATCTTCTTAACCACTACACTCTTATATGCAAAATCTCAGTTCACAGCTTTTTTCAGCCCCCTTCCTCTCTCCCTCTAAATAGTGGTTCCCATCTACATTTCTGCTGTGCAAGTCTGCCATTAGCAGCATTAGTCTAAAGGGAGTCTGCACCTTTTGACAAGAAACAAGGCATTTCTCCACTGTTTCTAAGAAATACGGACTAAGTGTTCTGCCAGAACCTCTCCCCTCATTAGTTCAGTAAATATCCACTGATCACCTCCTCCTTAGAGTGACCAAAACCGACAAGGCCCTTGGCTATCGTTCTATATCGGAGGCACAGTATCCACGGCTTTTTATAAGTATTTTATCTTTATTTATTTGGCTGCACTGGGTCTTAGTTGTGGCATGCAGGATTTTTAGTTGCGGCATGCGAACTCTTTTAACTGCCGGCATGTGGGACCTAGTTCCCTGATCAGGGATGAAACCCAGGCCCCCTGCATTAGAAGCGCGGAGTCTTAGACACTGGACCACCAGGGATGTCCCAGAACGACTATTTTTTTTTTAAGCAGTTTATTTAAAAATCAGAATTGGAGCAAAGAAACACGGGGCACCATAAAAGCCCCTGAAAGGGCAACTGATGTCTCTCTCCTCCTTGAAAGTGGACTTTTTATTGAGAAGAAAGCCCTTCCCTTACAAACACAATTTTCTCCAGCTCCTGAGGGGAGAGATCACACCCTTCTCCCGTGTTCTCCAAGCGGCCTCCCCTGGGGATGGGTGGCAATTTCAAGAAACTCCCTCGCTCTCTCCAAGTTTTCTCCCTCCCTTAGGGTTACGAAGGAGCTGCCTGGCTTTTCTTCTCCTAAGGAAGTGTAAGTTATTCCCTTGCATGTCCTGTCCAAGTGGTTCTCCCAGCCCTCGTCCTTTCTCTAACAGCCCTTCCTTCACTTCCTACAGGGACCTAAGGGACGCCCCCCCCTCACTCTGAAGAAGGCATAAACATTCCGATACCTCCTTGGAGAAAACTCTCAGGTGCCCCAGGTACTCACAGATCTAGCCAGCCCACAAGCCCCAAGCAGCCGCAGGAGCGGGAGGCCGGCCCGTCCCAAGCCTCGACTTGATCCCCAAACCTTCGCCACCGCAGCCGCCACCGCCATCTTGACTGACCATCCCTCGGAGATCCGCCCTTCTCCTCGGCGAGACCGAGGCTGCCCCTTCATAAGCCTGACTCAAATGCCAGCAACACCCTGCCACGAAACCATACGCTACTAGTTCTGCAGCCTCTAGGACACACATGTAGGTGCATAAGGCCACCTAACTTCCCCAAAATTACTCTGACTGCCTCACGTTAGTTATTCCTGTAACAGGCAAAGAAGAGGATAACCCGTCCAGAGCCTCAGCGTTTCAGAGCTGGGGGCCTCGGGTAGGACGAGCTCAAGCCAAGGCCCGCCCACTCTTCTCTTCTGTCCAATAGCTTTCCCAGACTTCCGAGGCGGGAGTGGGAGGGCCCAGATTGTTAGTAAACGCCGAGCCACGTGCGGGCGCCCCTCCAGGAGCCCGCGGGTCGGCGCATGCGTACTGAGTACGCACTTCGTACGCAAGCGCGCACTTCTGGGCGGACGCAACAAGCCCCGGCTGCACGTGGGCTCCGGGGCGATGGAGGGGGCAATGCAGACTGAATCGAAGATCCGGGTTGATTCTGGGACAGAGCACGGCCCTCGGGGCCCCGGCTGTAGCCTCCGGCACTTTGCCTGCGAACAGAACTTGTTGTCCCGGCCTGATGGCTCTGCCTCTTTTCTGCAAGGTAGGAACTACGTAGGTTGTATTCGTTTTGGGGGGCGGTTACAGTGTACTGCGTTAGCTGGTAAAAATCTCTCCTGAACTAGTGCAGTTCTTGCCGGGGTGGATACTCCTGCATACGCAGGTAGACATATATCTCTTCCTCCAGACTAGCAAGAAGATTGTTAAGTACAAAGAATGGGAGAGGGCAGACCGCCTCTAAAGAATGAATACTCCAGAATAGGGGAAACCTTCTTACCCGGGTGTCTCCCTTGACTAGGTTCCTTTCCGGTTTCCCACACGCACCCTGGGTCCATACATCCCAGGCTGAGGCAAACCTGTTTGTTTCCATAAATACCCTGTGGACTGTCAGATCAGCACTTCCCGTTTACTCCCTAGACCGGTGGCGGATCTTTTATCCAAATAGTTACTTCTCATATTGATGGTGATGTCCCCAGCCCCACCTCCTGGGTAAATGTCCCTTTGACTGGGATACACAAATCTCCCTATATCCCTAAGATTGGGGCAGTTCTTACCTATTACGGAAATATCCCCTTTTCCTAGCTAAACAACTCTGAAACTAGACTCAAATCCCTGACCCTTCTGAAGGAAATGTTCCTCTGGAGATAGGCCTAAGGGTCACTCCCATAAATGCTTCAGACCCTGCTCTAGGGTATTACCTGAAACCCAGATACAAAACCTGCTTTCATTCATTCTTTCAGTGAACATGTACCTTTGCTTAGTATTGTTCTGGGCACTGAGAATAAGTAAATAATTTTTTTTAAGTCCCTGCAATAACGGATTTGACATTCTTACATTCTAGTCAAGAGAGACAGGCAAAAGATAAATAAAATATGTAGTAAAAAACTGGAGAAAAATACAGTAAGGATGTAGAAGCCAGAGAGGGTTGCAGTCTTAGTTAGGATGGTCAGGAAAGGCATCAACTGAGATGGTACCTTTTGAATAAACACTTAAAGATGGGACTTGCTAAGACTCTGAGCTCCCAATGCAGGGGGCCTGGGTTCAGTCCTTGGTCAGGGAACTGGATCCCACATGGTACAACTAGGAGTTCGCATGCCCCAACTAAAGATCCCACATGTTGCAATGAAGACCTAGGGCAGTCAAATAAAAATTTTTTAAGGCAGTTTTTTCCCCTAAAGTTGGCTTTTTGCTGGGGTGGAGGGGGGAGCGAACCCCAAAGAGATCAAGAGGAAAGCTTATGAAGCATTAGGAACCACAGGACCCTGAGGGCAAAACTTGCCTGGTGTGTTTGAGTAACAGTCAGGGGAACAGGGCTGCCTGCAGCAGTGACAAGAGGTGGAGCGGAGGTAAGGAGGCCTGCCCCTTATATACAGTCTGGTGACTGAGAATGGAGCCGTGTGACATGCTCTGAATATATTTTTATAGGTTTTAGACTTTTGGCTGCAGTGTTGACGGCAAAGGGCATGGGGAAAGGAGGAGAGGAGGGTGGCTCAGCCTAGAGTGGAAGCAGTACAGGTCGTGAGAGTCTGAAGCTAAAACTGACAAATTGCAGGTGGTTGGTTTGGGGGTATGACAGAGTCAGGGATAACGCTAAAGTTTTTTACCCAGACCAGCTGTGCTGGGAGAAAATGAGTTCAATTGGGAGCATTACATTTGCAGTGCCTAATAGACTTTCCCATGGCAGTGTGGATTCAGCAATAGGAATAGGACATACAAGACTGGAATTTGGGGGTCCTTTGGCTCTAGATGGCGGTTCAAGCTACTGATTGGATAGAATCACCAAGAAAATTGATGTAGATGGAGAAGAGAAGAACTTAGAACTTAGCCCTGTGCCTTCTAGCCTGGGTGGAACTAGGAAAAGACATTGAGAAGGAGCAACTAGTAAGGTAGGAGAAAAACCAAGAGAGGGCAGTGACCTGGAACCCAGAGAACATGTTTGAAATGTAAGGACCAACCAACTGTTTTGGTCCCGCTGAGAGACTGAATCATGTGAGGATGGACTAGACCTGTGGGTTGACAACTTGGTTGTCTGTTGTAGGTGGTGCAGCCAAGAGTCACTCTGGGACTTCCCTAGCTAAGATTCTGAGCTCCCAGTGCAGGGGACATGGGTTCGATCCCTGGTCCAGCAAGATTCCACATGCCTTGCATCACAACTACTTGAGCCCACACACCCTAGAGCCTGTGCTGCACAACACGAGAAGCCACTGCAGTAAGAAACCTACGCATCACAACGAAGACCCAATGCACAGCCAAAAATAATAAGTAAAATTTAAAAAAGAAAAAGCTGTTCCAGTGGAGGGGTGGAGTCAAGGAGGAAAAGAAAGAGTCAGTGAGAGGAGACAGCTCTTCAGGAGCTTTGCTGTAAGAGGATAAGATAGATGGGCCAGGAGTTAGATGGATGTGGGGCCCAGAGAGGAGGGAATTGCTAGAGCCATGGCCTTGGAAGATGAGAACGGAGGCACTCTTGTGCCCAGGTGAAGCACAGACAGCGCCTTTGGAGTAACAGGAAGGAAGACCCCAGTGCGGATCTAGTTCTGCTTGGATAATTTCCCTCTCCAAAGTCCCTTCTCCTGGAGCCAAAAGAGTCCCTCAGTTGTATGGCAGCTCTCCCTTCCCAGCCCCAGAAAAAAAAAAGCTTCTACCTGGGACCTCTCCAGGCTTAGCTGTCTTGCTCAGGGCAGCTACCTAGAGGTGCTTAGAATTTAAGAAATAATGAGCCCCTTGTGTGTTCTAAAAAAGAAAGAAATACTGAGCCCCTTGTAGGTTCTAAAACCCCAAAGCCCAGGACCCTGCAGCAGGGTCCTCTGCAAACCCTCACTAGACTCTCCAGTGAGGTTAAAAATGCCAAGCCCCAGAACCCACCTACGCCAGCTAAGGCCAGCCCTCTTTGTCCTTATTGTTTAGTCGCTCAGTCGTGTCAGCCAGGCTTCTCTGCCCATGGGATTATCCCAGCAAGAATACTAGAGCAGGTTGCCATTTCCTTCTCCAGGGGATCTTCCCGACCCACGGATGCCAGTCCTCTGTATTTTTAAATGATCTGCCGTAGTGATTCTGGTTGCAGGCCTGTGTTTTGAAGCTGTGCTGGAGCTCCATGTCTTCCCACTGCGAGTTGCAGGCCCAGCTGCACGTTAGAATGGCCTGTTGAAGCTCTGAGGCTCCCAGTACCTGAGCCCCAGCCCCCAGCAATGGAATTAAGGCTCTCTAGGAGAGTGGCCTGGGCATCTAGATCTTTTTAAAGTTCTGCAGTGAGCCCAGTGTGCATACAGGGTTGAGAACTACTGTGTTCACTAGTGGGTTTTTCTTTTTGTTTCCATTTTATTTCTGTTCTTTGGTCAGGTCAGGTTTTAATTGTGGCGCATGGGCTTAGTTGCTCCACGGCATGTGCAATCTTAGTTCCCTGATCAGGGATCGAACCAGTATCCCCTGCGTTGGAAGGCGGATTCTTAACCACTGGGCCACCAGGGAAGTCCCCTTTAGTGGTTCTTTGTAACTGAAATAGAGTAGAAGATATCCGAGTACATCAAAGCAGTAACAGTAAGAGTTGTTTTGGGAGGCATCCGTTCATTTACATCCACACAGATTTCTGTGAGTTTTGGGTCCTGAAATGTATTTGAGTCTAAAATGTATTTCTTACAGGGAGTTAGGATCAGGAATGTTTGGAAGCTGCTCTTGTAGTCCAGTCTACCCATTTTGCTGATGGGAAAACTGAGGCCCAGAGAAGTAAGCAAAATCAGCTGAGATTACAGAGCCAGGAGGAAATAAACAGGTGTCAGGACCCAGCCCTAGATATTCATCCCTTTCTCAGGTGTCCTGACTGCTGCAGAGTTTGGGCATGTGAGCCAGAGGGAAGAGAACTTGGCCTGGGGGAAGCTTTGGAAGGAGAAGTTGGGACTAGTAGCAGTAAGAAAGAGGAAGGTTAGCACTCAGGAAGAACTTCTTGTTAAAGTTTATAATAGTAGCTAAAGTCCTTTGGGCACTCAGCAGATTTGCAGGCAGCATCCTAAGTGTTTCTGTTTTTATCTCATTTAATCCTCATAGCTGTGAAGGATGTTCTGTAGGTGTTTGTGTGTGTTTGTTTTTTTTTTTTTTTTTTTTTGGCTGCACCGGGTCTTAGTTCCAGCATGCAAACTCTTAGCTGTAGCATGTGGGATCTAGTTCCCTGACCAGGGGTCGAACCCAGGTCCTCTGTATTGGGAGCGCAGTCTTAGCCAGTGGACCACCAGGGAAGTCCCAGGGACATACTGTAGTTATCTTCATTTTACAGATGAGGGAGTGGAGGCAGAGACATGAAGCAAATGCTCACGGAATCACTGCCAACAAGTGGTGGGCCAGAGTGAGGGTGACGTGGTAACCCCTGGCCACCCAGCTCAGGGCCCACCATGTTAAGTGCCTCGTGTCAGACCCCAGAGGCAGGGAAGATGCGGGTGAGCTCTCCCACACTGTCTCCCCAGGGGATACCTCTGTCCTGGCCGGCGTGTATGGGCCAGCTGAGGTGAAGGTCAGCAAAGAGATCTTCAACAAGGCCACGCTGGAAGTGATCCTGAGGCCGAAGACTGGTCTGCCTGGTAACTGGTCCTCTCGCCCAATATCCCCGTCACTGCCCTTTCTGGTCTCCACTCCTCCTCTCATCTCCCCTCAGCTATTTCTGTCTTTTTTGCCAGCTGTCTGCCTGTACGTCTCTATCACTTTTCTCCCTGTCTCTCTCCATCTTCACTTCCCCCCCATTTCTTTCCTGGCTCCATCTCTCCTCCTTTCCATTAATCTGTTTTTCCACTCTTTTACTGTCTGCCCCCCTCACTCCCCAGGGCTGGGTGCACTGGGATGGGAATGGACAGCAGCATGACATGGGAGAGCTCTGAGGTTCTCCCCCGCCACCGAGAGGCTCCCTTGGTGGGCGCTGGAGGTGGCGGGCATCAAGTGGGTGGCAGTCAGCCCCACCTCCCTCCCCCTGGGATTCCTCTGTCATCCCTGCAGGATCTTCCCGGGCTGAGACTGCAGGCCCTTTTCTGGAGGCTTGGGTGGGGCATATGGAGACAGGTGAGCCAGCTGGACAGGAAGAGCCTGACAGCCCAACCCCACCCCTGATTTCTGCAGGCGTAGCGGAGAAGAGCCGGGAGCGGCTGATCAGAAACACATGCGAAGCAGTGGTACTGGGAGCGCTGCACCCCCGCACCTCCATAACTGTGGTGCTGCAGGTCGTTAGCGATGCTGGCTCTGTATCCTTTCCTCCAGGAAGTCCTCCAGAAGCTCATTGATTGCCCTTCTTGCCGATGGCCATGTGCACACCCTCTCCTCGTCTGCTTGACAGATGTCAGCTTGTAGGAACAGCAAACACGGCTTGAGTGTTTACTGTGTGGCAGGCAATTTATACAGCGCGGACAACTCACACTTGTAGTAACTGGCAGTGCCCAGCCACGTGGTTCTAGAGCTCAAGGCCCTAGCAGCTGGGTCCTCATCTCATGTTTCAGGTGAGGAAACCAAGGCCAAGAGAGGGGAGTTCGCTTACCCAAGGTCACAGCTGGAAGACAGCAGAGGCTGAATTCACATGCAGAATTCACCTCTCTGACTCCAGAGCCTATGCCATTGACCTCATCTCTGATCCTAAGCTTGAATTTGAGGCTCAACACTGCAGGAGCCCTGATCAGGCAGAACCTTTGGTTCAGCAGCTCATCCTTGGAATGTGGCTGCAGTTTGGATGCGAGAGGCAGAGGCCCAGAAATGGGCATTTCTAGACAGCTTTGTGGGTGTGTGTGTGTGGTCCTGCGTTGGGCAGATACTTCACAGATGGGGGAAGCGGATCACTGTGAACCCACTTCACAGATGGGAGATAATGGAGGATCAGTGGCAGAGGTGGGGCTGACTGATTGATTGTAAAGCTGGGCCCTGGAGAGGAAAGACTTGAGGAAACTAAGCTGGGGCTAGCTGTTTGACTCAGACCTATGCTCACCTTGCACAGGGCCAGGGCCACACCTCTCCCCTGGACTGTGGGCTCCCTGAGGACACTTAACTCCTCCCTCCGTCATCCTGCCAGTCTGTCACCTGGTAGCACTGCTTGCTCGATTCCCCAGCCCCGGGCCTGGCTCTGCCACTGCCTCCTTGTTCTATCTTGAAAAGCTTCTGACTTTTGTTTCCCTGAAGGTGCATACCTGCTGAGTATCATTGTGATCCCTGACTGAGGCTCAGAGAGAGTAAGTAGCTTGTTCAAGGTCACACAGCTTAGAGGTAGCAGTTCAGGTTTGGAACCCAAGGATAGTAGATCCCAGGATTACTCTGCCTTTGTGTGATCAGTTAGATGTCTGGTGTTCACAGGCACTGGCCTGGTGAACCAGAGTCATGGATGTGTTCTGCTGACCAAGCTTCAGTAGAAACTCTTAACATGGGAATTCCCTGGCAAGCCAGTGGTTAGGACTCTGCGTTGTAACTGCTGAGGGCCCGGGTTCAATTGCTGGTGGGTGAACTAAGCTGCCACAAGCCACATAGAGTGGTCCAAAAAAAAAAGGATTAAAAAAGAAACTCTTAACCACTGCCTGTGGCACTCAGCTCCTGGCCTGTTGCCTGAATGCCGCCTGCATGGCCTTGGTGGATGCCGGTGTGCCCATGCGGGCCCTCTTCTGTGGGGTCACTTGTGCTCTGCACTCTGATGGGACCCTCATGCTAGACCCTACTGCTAAACAGGAAAAGGTAAGGATGAAGGGCAGGGTGATGAAAGGCCCTGGGCAGGCACCCTCCCTCTCCTCCTCCTCTGGGCCTCGCTTCTCCGAAACAGTTGGCTGGTACCACCTCAGGCTCAGCTGGCAAGCTCCGCTCTGTTCCTCTGGGCAATTGCTAGAAACCCAGCTCTAACCCACTGAAGTGACAAGGGAGTTGATTTTAAGAGGTTCAAAAACAAAAGCAAAAAAATCAGAGTTTCTTCAGTGGCTCAAGTTCACAATATGCTGGGGCTCCGGTTATTCCCAGCTTTCTGCTCAGGACTGTGACAGTCACATCCAGTTGGGAAAGCAGAAAGAAATCCCTTGGGGGCTTCAGACAGTAGTGGGGGGATTGAACTGGTCACAACAGCCATGTTGGAAGAGCTGAAGAAGCAAAAGGGAAAAAGGGAGGACCCCCTCCACCCCTAGATGAGAAGCCTGAAGCCAGCTCCTGCTGGGTGCTGTTGGGGACACGCGAACAGTCAGATCTAATGCAAACAGTCTGGCTCTTGCCTGGCTGCTGAGGTCCACAGCCGCCCCGTCTCCATAATGACTGTGGCAGGTGATATGCCCCAAACTCCTATGAGGACCTGGATGCTGCTTTCTCCTTCCTTTCTTGTCTCCCACCAGATTCCTGCTAGAAGCAAACTGGCAGGGGAACCTGGGAATACAGCTTGCTGGCTTCCAGCCCCAGAGAACAGAGCACTGCTGGGAGGCACTGGGGGATGACCATTACTGTGGCTGCTCCTCTGATGCAGGATACTGTGCTTTGGAAAGCCCTTTTGGAACCATGTAATGGGATCACATGGGGAGCAATTCCCCAGGGAGGGGGTGATGTGTAGACTCCCCTCAAATAATATACTTGCTACTTGAGGGCCTGGCTGCAGAAAAAGCAACTCCCCCCCACACACACACACAGACACACACCCGCTTTGGGGCCAGCTGTGATTATATCTGAGAGGAGGGTCCCAGGTCTTCCACCTTGTACCTCTCATTCCTAGGAGGCCCGGGCAGTCCTGACCTTTGCTCTTGACAGCGTGGAACGGAAGCTGCTGATGTCCACCACCAAGGGGCTCTACTCCGATGCCGAGGTACCACTGCTCAATTCGGGGTGAACGCCAGATCCTTCCCACCCACCTGACATGAGGTCTGGTCACTATTCTAAGAGGCTTAAGGGGAACCCCTTCCTTGCACCCCTTCTGTAAATAGGAGTTTTTAAACTTTGTGGCCATAGAAACCTTTGTGGGAATTTGACCTCAGTTTATGAGAAGAGGGGCTCAGGTGGAAATCAGGACACAGGGCACTTGAAGGCCTCCCAGCTTCCAGCTCAGAGCCTTGCACCCCAGAGTTCGGGGTGTCTGAACAGAGTTTGGCACCAAATGGTCACCAAGAACATTTACCACCTGGCCCTCCTGTGAATCCAGGTATACACGGCAGTAAAGATTTGGGGTCTCGAGTTCCATGGCTTTTAAGAGTATTTGGAGCCACAGGGCCTCTGGGTCTAAAATTCCAATCTCTCTGGGTCCGGAGCTCAATGAGCCTGGGAATGCTTCCAGGGGGCAGGATGCCTGATGCTGTTGGTCTGAGGGCCTGGAGCTATTTTAATCAGCCCTGAAGCCTTCTCTAAGGAGGCCATGAAGTGGGGAAGATGGGAATGCACATGGAGTAACCCCCTCACCACCACCCTCCCCTGGGGAGAGGGGCTCCTAGTGGAAGGGGAGGTGTTAAGTTTGGGGGGCTCTGGGAGTCAGGTGGGGCCCCCGGCACTGACCCCCCTCTCTCCTCCCAGCTCCAGCAGTGCCTGGCCGCGGCCCAGACTGCCTCCACACACGTCTTCCGCTTCTACCGGGAATCGCTGCAGAGGCGTTACTCCAAGAGCTGAGGCAAGCCAGGGCAGGCCGCCCCTCCCGCCACCTCCAGCGTCAAAGAAGCCAGCAGGCCGGCCCTGGCGAGAAAGAAGTGGCTATAGCCAGCCCCCTCCCTGGGCATGGGGGACAGGCACAGACCCCACCCCACTCCAGGAAGACACTGGTAGGGTAGTGCACTCACTGAATGAAGCTACTCATTCTAACAGCCCCAGGAAGCCGAGACTGCAGCTAGAGTGTGCAAAGCCTGCTGGGTGCTAAGGCCTCAGCAGTGAATGAGGCCCAGGTTCGAGGAACGGTGAGGTGATAGACAAATAACAGTAGTGTGTGTTGGATGGTGGATGCTATTTAAAAAATAAAACAATGCAAAAAAATTTTTAAAGGGGGGTTTAGGCGAGTTCATGGTGGGGGAAGGGGACAGATTCAGTACATCAGTTGGGGACACCTTTGTGGAGAGGGGGCATCCGAGGGAAGTCCAGAAGGGGGCCAGGGATGAGCTCAGAGACTCGTGGACAAGTGGGGGGAGGACCCCTTGGCAGACATAGGCAGAGGTTCAAGGACCAGCGGGATGGCTGGTGTGGCTGGAGCAGAGGAAAGGAGGGCGGTAGGGAGGGAAGAGATGGTCAGGGAGACAACGGGCTTCGTGTGCCTTGGAGGGCAATCTGCCTCTGAGCACTGCCTTTATCCAGCAACCCCCTGAGGGGGGGGCTGTTACGGTCCCTATTTTAAGGTAAGGAAACAATTTTAGGAGCCAGTTACCTACCGGAGGTCACTAGCTAGTTAGTGGTGGAACATGGGTCCTTGCTCAGAGTCCAGACCCAGAGCCCCCACTATTCAGAGCCCAAGAGACTCAGCACACTCTGGACCTCAGGTCCCTGACGGTTAATTGAAGTGGCCAAGGCCTGCTGGTTCTCAGTCAGGTGGTAGCACCCCATAAGGGGCTTCTGGAAACAGGTATGTTTTCAGTTCTGATTTGACTGATCCCCACCCTCAGATTTAGGGGGCAGGAGCCAAGAAGATGCAGCATTCTGCAAGGAAAAACATTCCCACAGGTGGGCCACATGCCTGCCAGATCCTGTCTGCCACTGGCGTTTGGGGGTTTATGGTGAAAAAGACAAAATGACCCCCGTTTGGGGGAGGGGGTCCTTTGCTGCAGCTTCACATGGGTGCACTGACTCACAGTTGCCCCTTTGGGCAGGTGTTATTTTCATCCCCAGTAACCAAGGAAATGCATAAATAGCTTGAAATTACACTCCATGAAAATGCTCAGGAGAGCGTAGACAGTGAATAATGTTTTCTTCTAGCAGGATTAAATGGCAGTGTGCCTATGCATGCTTTCGTAGTGCACCACTCTGCAACTATGGACTGTAGTCCACCAGGCTTCTCTGTCCATGGGGTTCTCCAGGCAAGAATACTGGAGTGGGTTGCCATGCCCTCCTCCATGGGATCTTCCTGATTCAGGGATCAAACCCACATCTTTTCCTTCTCCTGCATTGGCAGGCATTTTCTTTACCACTAGCGCCACCTGGGAAACCCCAAAATGGCGTTAAGTGGAGTGAAGAAAACTAAACAGCTCTCACTTCATTACTTGATAATATCCAGCCGGGGGTGGCCATGGCATGTGGGATCTTAGTTCCCCAACCAGGGATGGCACCGTTGTCCCCTGCATTGGAAGTGTGGAGTCTTAACCGCCGGACCACCTGAGAACTCCCTCAGGCCCCATTTAATGTATCTGACAAGCACGTTAGGCACGGGGCCATTTTGCCTGCTAGCACTTTAGGCTCCAGCCATCCCAATCTCAGGCCGTGGGATGCAGCTGCCTTGGACCCCAGGTGGGCCAATGAGAAGGTGCCTGGCAAAGACAACCTTGGTGGCACCAGAGTTTTCCGCTCCCATTTTCCCCCCCTAGGAGGGGGAGCCTGCACAATGGAAGCCAAGAGATGGGGAGACCAGACCATTTCACTCGACACCATGAATCCAGTTCTTTCTCTGTTCTCCTCCCCTTTGTTGTGTAAGAGAGTTGGATTTCTGCCACTGCTGTTAAAGGGACTCCGGAGGAGACTGTTGTGTAGACCGTACGACTCATTTGGTGTCTATAACTGCTCCAGCTGTGGGGGAAATCAGTCCCATTGTGCATATGAGGAAAAGTGAGGCTCAGACCACACGTTACACAGTGAACTCAGAGGAGGAAGGACTTGGAACCTCGCTTTCCCTAATTCCCTGCCCACCACCTGTGTTCTGAGAGAATATTCTGCCATATGGGAGCCCTCCGAGCCTCCATGGATTCTCCCCTCTCTGGCTCTGAGGTGTCCAGGAACACCCCGGGGGACAGCCTGTCACTCTGGCCCCGTCTGTCCACCTGCCCACACACTCAGACAGACACAGGTTTGGCGGCAGGAGTGTCTGGGGTTTAATCGCCCTCTGCGGCCTCCAGGAAGGCGGGAGGGAGGGGGCGGCCCAGACCCCTCCCGGTTCTGGATGCTGCTGCTGCCGCCCGTCCACCGGGACTCTCCACTCCAACCGCAGACGCGCTGGGCAGCCGGCCTCTGGGTTCACAGCGGGGGCCGCAGGGGCAGCTAGGGCGGGTCCCGGGAGGCGAGGTAGGCGGCCAGGGTCACCAGGGCGGCCGCGTACGTGCACACGCCCAGCCCGACGGCCAGGACCCCCAGCAGGAAGGCTCGGCGGGAGGCGGCCCCTGCCCCCTGGACGTCCCCCTCGGCCCAAGCCTTGTTGGTCTGTAGAGGCGTTGGGCAGCGGTGACTCAGGCGTCCCCTCATCCCACCCTGCTTCCCGCAGCCCCATCCCTCCTCCATCCCCCACACCCTTGTATTCATATGTTCCAAAAACAGCCAGCAGCTACCGTGGGTCAGGCACAGCTGGGCACTGGGTTTACTGGGTGACTAATAAAAATAGACATATATTACTATATGCCACAGTTCCAACTCATTGAGCCTCACAATGACCCTGAGGTACGAATTAGTCATCCCCATTTTACAGATAAGGAAAATGAGGCACAGGGAGGTTAAGTGGCTTGACCACCACCTTACCCACCACCTAGGGGGGTGGGCCTAGGAGTGGAGCTCACTCTGCACTCCCCTCTGTGACAAACACGCCTTGTTTCACCCCTGAATATTTCTACGTGAATCCTCTTCATCACTTCCCAACCCGCACCCCCGCCCCCAACCCACCCAAGGAGGGCTCCTCTCATTTGTTTTCTTTCAAATGCCATTTTCTCTTTTATATCCAGTCTCCTCTCAACCCCACCCAGAGACTGACCTTCTGGGCCAGGCAGAAGGCGGCGATGCCCAGGGGCCAGAAACAGCACAACATGGAGAAGACAGCCAAGCCGAGGTGGTCGTGGGGTAGCAGCGGGGGAGGAGGCCGCCCCCATCCCAGTCCGAGTCACTGTCACTGGATGAGACATCCTATGGGCAAGAGGCAGCCTGAGTGGCCATCTCCATCCCCCTTCCCTGCCCCACTGCTCTGCTCCCCATGCCCCCAGAGACACCAAGAGAGAGAAATGTTCCCAGAGATAGACTTGTGACCCCTCTATATCCTGGATACCTCCGAGGGGAAGCTTTGGACCCTGCCTCCTGAGAAAAACCTCACCCACGCTCAAAAGCTCAGAGTTCAATTTCAAGAAGTTCACAGGTCCAGCCACGGGTGGGTACTACAGCTGCTCATAAGCCCTGAGTTAAAAATCCTGAAGTACACACAGAAACCAATGGGGACAGGAACCTGCAAAAAGATGGAGATCAGAGGAGAGAGCTCTGGTGGCCTGAACTACTAGGACAAACCTGCCTGCTGAAACCACAGGTTCTAGGTTAATATATATATATATATATAGTCAGTTCAGTTCAGTCTCTCAGTCGTGTCTGTCTCTTTGTGACCCCATGGACTGCAGCATGCCAGGCTTCCCTGTCCATCACCAACTCCTGGAGCTTGCTCAAACTCATGTCCGTCAAGTCAGTGATGCCCTCCAACCATCTCACCCTCTGTCGTCCCCTTCTCCTGCCTTCAATCTTTCCCAGCATCTGGGTCTTTTCCAATGAGTCAGTTGGAATGTGTATATATATATATATTTAATCTTGCATTAAATAGCTCATAAGAGTTTAAGGAGTTACTGTAAAGCCAAAACAAGTGAAAATCAAAATTAACAGAGAAGGTCCCTTCTGCCCAGCAGGCATTTCCCAATCCCAGAAAAATTAATCTTTCATTCAGACCCTGAACTAGATTAAAAATGATCTCTGAATAGCAGTGCCCCTGGGCAGTTGACAAAAGCAGACCAAATCCTTTCTGGACAAGGTACTTTCATTCTAACCCTCAAAACCATTTTTCAAATACAATAACCAACATGCCATCAAAGATAACCAGGTACGCAGGAACCATGGAGGAGAACTAGCAGGCCCTGAAAGTCTTCAAATACTGGAATCATCAGACACATAACCATGTCAAAGTGAAGCTTACTGCCACAGTGTGGCGGACTGTTACTAAAAATGGCCATAACCACCCCTCCCCTCCCACAGGCTCTTCTTCCAGTGTGACTGATAATCTTCCCATCAAGGGGTGAGGTCTGTGTCCACTTTCCTTGAGTCTGGGCAGGCTATGATTCATCTATAATTGATAGAATGTGGTGGAAATAATACCACACGACTCACAAGCCTAAGTCAGAAAAGGTGAGGCAGGTTCAGCTTTGTTGAAACACTCCTGCTGGAGGGCTGGAGGCACATTTGGAGTGCTGTCCTGAAGCTTACGTGCCATGAGCCCACACCAGCCCACATGGGGTGACTCCTGCGGAAGCCCTGAGACCACATTAAGAGAGAGATACCCAACCAGACCCCCCTGCTGCTTCAGACCCTGACTGTTCCAGTTCTGGCCACTGGCTGGCCTCGACCTCATGAAAGACCCTGAGGCAGAACCACCCAAGTCCTCCCCAAATTCCCAACCCATGGAAACCATGAGCCATGATAGTGATTGTCATTTTCTTATGTGGTTTCTTATACAGCAGTAGCAACAGGAAAACCATGCTTTGCAAATAAAAGACAAGCTTCAGAATATGGACACGGAATAAGAAATGATAAAAAAAAAATGACATTAACCGGGGGGGAGAAAAAAAGAGAGAGGTGCAGAGATGCATCACCTTTAGAGGGACGGACAGAGAGAAAACAAGGGGGTCAAAAATGATTGGGAAGAAAGAGCCAAAGAGAACAAAGATGAGATTCGAATCTGGGGAGAAAAAGGTAAAGAAAGCGGGGGAGAGGAGGAACAGGAAAAACCACAACTGGAAACCCAGGAACATGCACGCAGTTGGGAAGTGAGACTCCAGGCCAAAGATGGGCACTCCACCTGCCAGCCTGCTGGATGTTGGCCCCAGCTGGGTTTCCCTCCAGCCCCTTCCCCCAGTTCCCACTAGGGAGCCTTCCTTAGTGGTGCTGCTCCTACCTCAAAGTCGGGGGTCCCTGGCTCCCCTAGTCCTGCACTCATAGAAGGAAGAGATGGTGGCAGGAACTGCCAACCCTTCAGCGACTCCGCAAAGGCTGTCTCTCGAAAGGGAGGCCCCAGCTCAGGCTCACTGGACTTCTGGATGGGAAGCTCACCACCCACCAGTAGGGGCTGCTGGAGCTCTCGAAGACTGGTGTTCTCCATGTCTGGGGAGAGGCTCCTTCCTAGGGGAAGGGAAAAGACAAGACAATGTTAACAGTTTCAACTTCATCCCTCCCCTGACTCCTGGCTTTGGAGAGACTCCAGGCAGAAACTAGGTGGCTGGACCATTCTAAGACCCATTTTACAGATAGCAAAACTGAGGTCTAAAGAGTTAAAGAGGGACTTCCCTGGTGGTGCAGTGGCTAAGGCTCTGCACTCCCAATGCAGGGGGCCCAGGTTCAATCCCTGATCAGGGAACTAGATCTCACATGCCTCAATGAAGACTGAAGATCTCGCGTGCTGCAACTAAGACCCAGCATGGCCAAATTTAAAAAAAAAAAGAGAGAGTTAAAGAGGATGGTCCAAGTTGTGAAAAAAGAAAAAACACTCAGGAATCTGGACATTCAGTTCTGTGCTTCTCTCTCCTCAGGGCAAAACCACATACCTGTTCCACAGTTATTCCAAACCATGCTTTACACACTTACTTGGCCCAGGAACTACACACCCATCCTGGGTTCACCCTCCCATCCCTCTCCAGCACAGCCATCCCCAGTGATGTTTAGTCCACACACCCCCTGTGCCCCCCAAGCCTGCATACTCAATACCCAAGTCCCCTGCCACACATACCCATCCAGGCAAGCCCAGCCCCCACCTGTGCACACTCATGTCCCAAGGGAGTTTGCCCCAAACAACATGAGCTCCCAGGAAACACCCCTCTGAGGCCTGCAACCTTCTTACACACTCACCCCAAACAACTCCTCGTACATTCATCCTAATCCCCTCAACATCAGAATTCCCCAGATGTACCTATATGCACCAGCTTCCCACACATGCAGATGGAACACTCTCCCGTTTCCATCACTTCCCTTCACACCTGCCCCAAACACCAGGGTCCACACACCCCTCTCTTACTCCACCCACATTCATGACCCACACCCACCTGCTCCCCAGACACCTCCTGTTTGACCAGAATCCACCGCTGCACTCCTCCCCCAGAACATCACCAACCCATCACACACTCCACTCGACCACAGAGAATATTCTTCTGGCCCTCACGATCGCCCGGGGGGAGAGGGGGGTCCCCAAGTCTTCCGCCCTCAGTCCAAACCTGGCTTGAGCCGATTTCCTCGCCAAGGTTTTGCCTCCCTGTCCCCAAACCCAAGACCTGGGGTAAAAGTGGTGCCCCCTGCCCGCAGCTGCGCCCCTCACTCACCGCCCACAGCCATAGGCCGGGACCTCCTGGGTTCCCTGCACCGACACCCGACCCGACCCTGCCGCCCAGGGTGGGGGCACTCAGTGAGCCCCGCTCTCCCCAGGGTCCAGGCCTGGCTGCGGGCTCGAGGCTTCCACGCTCAGCCCGGTGCCCCTCTCAGCGCCCCGGGCCCGCAGCGCGCGGGGGCGGGGATGGGGGCGGGGCGATGGGCTCCTGGGCTCCGCCCTCCGTGGAAGCCCGGGGATGGGGCCTTGAAGGCCGACGTCAGCGCCTGGCGCGGACCCCTACCACCCCCGGTGTGGAGGAGCGGGCGGGAGTCTCTGAGAACAGCGGGCCCTGACTTCCCGAACCCAGACCCTAAAGCTGCAGAACGGAGGAGGGGGCGCCCCGATTCTCCAGGGCCTTCCTGGCTTGGCCCCGCCTCCAGCCCACCGCCCTCCCCGCTCCCCAACAGTCAAAGCAGCAACCCCAGCTAACTGTGGGCACGGTTCTTAGTGTTTTACATACACACGTTATGTATATACACGGACACGTTTATTTCTGAGAACGACCTGAGAGGCACTATCAGTGGTGGTCCTGTCGTGCCCAGGAGGAAATAGGAGCCGAGAGTTAGAGCTTGCCTAAGAGCGCGCTGCAGGGTCGCTGAGTGCAGTGACCCACGCCCTGCCCCTGCGTTAGATGGGCTGCATTCATCATCTCACGGATTCCTCTCGATTTCTCTCCCTATTCTGCACATCAAGCAACTGAGGCTGAGATGTGTGTGAGTTCACTGGTCCAAGGTAAACAACTAGTGCCAGGACCCACAGGCAGATTTTAACTCAAGGCTGTATTTCTTGCTGGCCCACGTAGAGGGGTGAAAACAGGCAGAAGGTGAGGTGGGGGCTTCCAGGGAAAGGGCCAGCGGTGGGAGTGGACCAGGGATGGTGTGCTGGTCATCAGGTGGTACAGGCGGTGGTTATGAGTTACCGTTTGGACCCACACAGACCTGAATTCCTTTCCAGGCTCTTCAAAGCACTTGCTATGTGACCTCTGCATAATAGCATCACCTTTTTGAACCCCAGTTTCTCCATTTGTAAAATGGGGTAAGTACTCCCTGTCTCTTAGATTGTGACCACATATATAAAGCACTTCGATTAGGTGCAATAACACATGTCCAGCATTTGCCCCAAACTAGGCACTCTGAACGTGTTTAATAGTGCTTAGGAATAGAATTATTTATTAATATAGCCATCATCTTCAGTCTGATGAAGGGACTCTTCTCACGCTACAGGCTTCGACCTCCTTCAAGGAGGCCACCCAGCTTGCACTGGCTTCCCTGTCTCTCAGAAGCCCTCCATCTCACCAGTCGCAGACAGCCAAACTGGAGGATTCCCTTCCTGATGTGGGGCCGGCCAGAGTTCTCTCGCTCCAGGGCTCTGGGGCTCCGTGCCAAGAGTCCAGACGCTGGAGTTGGCACAGGCCCCACTCCCAGGGAGAGCAGATGGTGTCTGGAAGTGCACTTGGCTCAGCCAGAGATTCTGGCTGACAACAGGCGGGGAGACCCACGGCAGGATAGAAGAGGAGAGGGAGCAGAACTGTTCTATCAGGAGAGGTAACCTGTTACTCTTTATCTCCTTAACCTTGCTCTTATCACTGTGAAACATACTACATGCTTTGGCTGTTTGTAGTTTGAATTCCCCCACTTCAGTGCCAGCTGCAGCTGAGCTGGGATTTGCTCTCTTTTGTTCACTGTTGTGCCTCGGGGCCTAGAACAGTGCCTGGGTGCAAAGCAAGCCTTCAATACCTATTTGTGGCGTGGGCACATGAATTCTTACCAGCTTCCCTTTGTTACTGAGGCTGAATCAGTACATTTTACTGAGGCTGAATTTACTGATTTTTACTGAATCCCTGAACAATATGGGGCCCCCCCGACCCTGTAGGCCACCCTAGAAATTGTGGGGGGTTTTTTTGGCCACGCTGCATGCAGGATTTTATTCCATGGATGGAATCCATACCCCCTGCAGTGGAAGCGCAAAGTCCTGACCACTGGACCACCAGGGAAGTCCCACACCCTAGAGATTTATTCACTTCACTACATTCTCTGGCCACCATCAGCCTTGTACAGTCTCCCTGCCCCTTCCAGGGTTCTTGGGCTTTGTGATGGTCCTGAAATACTGAACGTGAAATCCCAGCCAGGATTATCAACAGAAGCCTAAGCCACTGAGTGAAAGTTTGATGAGGAACAGAACATGTATTTAGTCTCAAAGGATCCCCCCACAGATAACTTATTACAAAGGGGAAAAAAACAGTATTAACGAACAATGTCAGCAGACACCACTTAAATCAGGTGGTAGAAGTGAACATCACCAGTATTGGAACAGATCAACATCGTGTGCCTACTGACGTGCACTTGAAAAGGAAGGACATGACATCATTTCTACGATGCTTCTGCCAAAAATGCATCATCTGAATCTAATCATGACAACACATGGGACAGAGCCAAATAGAGGGACACTTTATAAAGTATCTGATCTGAACTTTTCAAAAATGTCAGTATTGGTGTAAAGTAATTAGCCTCCAACTAATAAAAATAAATGGAAAAAAAAATGTCAGTATTGGGATTTCCTTGGTGGTCCAGTGGTTAAGAATCCACCTTGCAATGCAGGGGACAATGCCAAGGAATAACTAAATTCGTGAGTTGCAACTATGAAGCCTGCATGCTCTGGAGCCCATGTACCACAACTAGAGAGCCTGCATGCCACAACTGAGACCTAATGCAGCCAGATTAAATATATTTAGAATGTCAGTGTCATGAAAACAAAAACATAAAAACCTAAAAGTTGGCAGCCTGTTCTAGGTTAAAGGTGACCAAAGAAACATGACCGGCTTCCTAGGTGGCGCTAGTGGTAAAGAACCCACCTACCAATGCAGGAGACATAAGAGACTCCGGTTCAATTCCCGAGTCGGGAACATCCCTTGGAGTAGGGCATGGCAACCCACTCTGGTATCCTTGCCTGGAAAATTCCATAGAGAGAGGAGCCTGACGGGCTACAGTCCATGCGGTTGCGAAGAGTCGGACATGACTGAAGCGACTTAGCCGGCACACAAAGAAACATGAATCTGCCTGCAGTGTAGGAGACCTGGGTTCGATCCCTGGGTTGGGAAGATCCCCTTGAGAAGGAAATGGCAACCTACTCCAGTATCCTTGCCTGGAAAATCTCATGATAGAGGAGCCTTGTGGGCTGCAGTCCATGGGGTTGCAGAGTTGGACATAACTGAATGACTGACACTTACTTAAAGAAACATGACAAATAAACACAAAGTGTGATCCCAGATGGAGAGCAGATGGTGACAAGGTATGTTATTGGGACAATGGGAGAAATTTGAATATAAACTATGAATTAGATGATAGTTCTCTATCAATATTAAATTGATACTTGGGGAAATGTTAAACTGGTATTATGGTTATATAGGAGAACCCTCTAGTTCTTGGGAGAATTTTACTGTTAAAATAATATTATGAATATAATATATGTATATGTGTATACATATGTGTACATATATGTGTATATATACATACATATATATATATGGAAAGAAAATCAAGTGAAAAATTGAACAAAACTTCACAAAAAGAGGAAATCCAAGGTAGCAATAGCATTTAAAAAATTACCCAACTAATCATCAGGCAAATGCAAATTAAAATCACAATGTATTACCAATACACCCCCATCAGAATGGTTAAATGATAGAAGAAGCCACCAGGAAGTATTGGTAAGGATGTGGAGCAGGGGAACTCTCATACATCTAA